AGTGTGCATGCATGGTTACATGTACGTGCATGTGCATCTGCACATGCATGTGCATATGACTGTGTGTATACGTATAGTACAGACATGCATATGAACTCGTAGACGTCCGTGTATGTGCATGCAGATGGGCATATGCATATGTATGTGTAAGTGGAAAAGTGTTGTGTATGTACATGTATGTATGCAGATATGCGTGTAAGTAGTTGTGTGTGACATGCACATGTATATCTACATGGAGAGAGAGAGAGAGAGAGAGAGAAAAAAAAAGGAGGTCAATGTGCCTGTGAACCTCTCTCTCTTTCTTTGTTTCTTTTTTCCTTTCTCTCTTTCCCTCGCTCTCTGGGAACAGCGAGCCCCTCCTCCTTCTCCTCTCCCTCCTCCCTCGCGCTGTCGCTTCCTCGGGAGGCTTGGAGAAGGGCACGGCGAGGGGGGGGCTCGGCCAGGAGAGCGTGGAAGAATGGGGGGGGGAGTGGGGTCGCGTGGACGGGACGCCAAGAGGCGGGAGAGGCGGAGGGCACGGGGCAGAGGCGAGCACAGCGGTGCGGCCCAACAGAGGGTGATGGCCCAGCAGGCGTCGCAGCCAGGAGCGCGACTGGAAGCACATCCTTGGAGTGCGCCTCGGCCACCGGAGTCTCCCAGGACCCCAGGGGGGGGCACCTGACAGATCCAAAGCCGGCCAGGACTCAAGGACCCGCCCGAGACAGCCCGAAGGCGGCCCATGACTGGCGTCTCAGACACCATCAATCGAAACAGCCCGAGGGCCCCTTCTCCACGCCCACAAAGCAGCCCGACACAGCCCAAAGTCCCCCAGAAGGCTGGACCCTCATGGATCTGCTCTCTGCAGCGGTACATGCACGCCGCGCGTCACAGCGGGACGCATATCGATGGAAAAAGCGCGCGTCATTCTCCGCAACCCGCCGCGCGGATGCTTTAAGCGTGCGCTCAGAAACTCCAGCCAGGATCTGCATCTGTAGGACCTGCGAGCGAGGTCTCCAGGATGCGAAAGCATGCAAAACACCAGAGGAGGTGTGGCCGTGCGGCGTGACTTCAGAGGGGGGGCCCTGGGGTGCCCCTGCGAGAGAAAGAGCGAGCCGACCAGCCACAACTGGGGAAGCTGTGCTCCTTATACCCCTGAGGGACCCCCTCGTATCGACGATCTCTCGAGAGGGGTGTCGAAATCGGCGGGTCCCCCACGGCGGAGGGGTAAGGACCACAGCTTCCCCAGGTGTGACTGGTCTGGAGAGAGAGAGAGAGAGAGAAAGAAAGAAAGAAAGAAAAAAGAAAGAAAGAAAGAAAGAAAAAAGAGAGGGTGAGAAGAGAGGGAGAGACGGATCGACGATCCAAGGGTCGAGGAAGATCGAGAATCAAGGGTCCAGGATCTTGAGGAACAAAAGCGGAATCAACATGAACTGTCGCAGGTCCTCGCGGATTTCTTGGATCTGCGCTGAACGCCCCTCCCTGGCGCGCGGAGCCACGGGGGGGGTCCAGCGCCGATCCAAGAAATCCGCGAGGAGCTCCGAAAGGCTACGCTTGTGCAACTCTCTCTCCCTGGATCCTGGAAAATTCGGCGGTTGACAAACCTCCCTTTAGTAAACCTCCCCTCAGTGAAAACGGCCTGGGACCGAAACCGACGGACCTGGACCCGCAAAAAAACGACGGCCGCGACGCCCTCTCGCGAACGGAAAACGGGCAGTTCCTGAATCGACGTGTCAGGGTAGGATCGGGTCGGGCGAAAGGGGGGGATAGCAAAGGGGGGGGGTTGAGAATCAGCTCACGTAGCTGATTTTCCTGGCGCCTCCCGGCGCCAGAGGCGGCTATGTATCGAGAAATGGGTCCCTCGGTGGGGCCGAAACCAGCTGCATGCAGCAGATTTCGTACCCCCCCCCCCTTTTCCAATCCCCCCCCTTTCGTCCGGCCCGATAGGAGGTCCAGCAACCTCCGAAGCATGGCAGGAGCATCGAGCAGCACCGCAGGAGCGCTGGCGAGGGCCCGCCCGCCTGGGCCCCCGAGCGCCACGCCCGGGAGGGGGTCCAGCGGGCCCCAGCGCGCCCGAGCCCGCTCGCGCTCCAGGGCGGCGGCCCGCGCCGCGGCCCGGGCGCGGTCCAGCTCCTGCCAGACGGGGAGGGGGCAGAGCAGCCTCGAGCCGATCCCTGCTCCCTGAGATCGACGAGCCCAAAGACGAGGAGAATCTGAGGGGTGCGCCCTCAGAAACCTGAGGCTACGCTGCGCTACTCCCGATCGGCCCGAGGGCCGTGCCGATCCAGAACTCAGGGGGAACAACTTGGCCAGTGCCTCCGGCACCCGGGCAAACGTGCGATCGTCTTGCGTGGATCGCTTCTCGGGCAGGCAGGGGCGGGGAGCGAAAGAGGGCGGGGGGAAGGGGGCAGAAGGGAAGAAGACCGTCAGATCTCGTTCGCGGGGGCCTTCACGAAGATCCTCAAGGTCGGCATCGAGACGAGGCGATGCCGATCGATAGGGATGGGGATGTGCGCCGGGCCGGAAAGGGGACCGGCCACTCCGAAGATCCGCAGATTGGCGGCCAGCCCGAGGAGGCAGTGAGAGGGGACAGGCTTTCTCGAGTGTCGAGGACCCTCGGATTTCCACGAGCCCAGGGGGGAAGAAGTGAGAGGGGACAGGCTTTCTCAAATCTCGAGGGTCCTCCGAATCGCGGCGAGCCCGGGGAGGAAGTGAGAGGGGGCAGGCCTTCTCAAATCTCGATGATCCTCAGATTTGCTGCGAGGGAGGGAGTGAGAGGGCGTCCTGAGATCTGGGCGTTCCAATTCGTTCACCACGGGCGTTTTCGTCCGATCTCGGGACCTGAGGCCCTCACAAACCGATCCGGCTCGAGGAATGGCGCTGGAGGATGGGGTCTACGGCTTTGGGCGTGATGTCTCTGCGATAGGGGTATGAGGGGCAACGGTACGGAGGGACCAATTTAGGGGGAGAAGCGTCGACCTGGAATCGGCGATATATCGCCAATAGGTCGGCGATAGACCCCCCATCGCGAATCCGCACGGTCCTGGGCGGGGTGGGCAATCGGGCCCCTATCGGCAATGAATGGACGATCGCGGGTCGGGTCGGTGCATCCCTGAGCCTATCCCCCCTATCATTGCCCCTGACGCTCCGATGGTCCTCACATTGGCGGCGAGCCCTGAGAGGAAGTCAGAGGGGGCATGTCTTCTCAAATTGGGGCAGGCCTGCTCCTCCTCCGCCTCCTCCTCCTTCTCGTCGTCCTCGCCGTCGTCTTCAAGGTCGGCGGCACCTGCCGCAAGGCCTTCACAATAGGAAAACATCCACATCTGCAAACCCTGAAGAGGTCTCGAGAAGCGCAGTCCTTATGACCAGGTATACTGACCCCGTATGCTCTGGCATGTCTGGTGAAGTCCACAGGACCGTCAAAATTCTTGCTTTCGGTCAAACACCCCACTCCTGCGGACACAACGGTGCGCACAATAAAAGCAATCCCAGAGTCACACGAAGACCGAGCTGAAACAGGCGAACCCGCGCGCGATACCTTGGCTGGCGTAGCACTGATGGTAAAGCATGCTTAGAAGGAGGCCGAGCGTCCCCAAACATCGCGCTTGAAAGGAGGACGAGGGAGGAGGAGGAGGTGGAGGAGGAGGAGGAGGAGGAGGAGTAGGAGGAGGAGCAGGAGGAGGAGGAGGAACAGGAGGAAGAGAGGAGACAGAGGGGAGAACGTCCAGCTGAAGCCATAATCGCCGTGCGAGCTCGGATCGATACGACGTCGAGTTGAAATTGTACATGAACTCACCACCTACGCAATCGCAGCACTCACTGAAAGGTTATAGAATTCACCATCAAACCATGAACTCACGGCGAGTTCTGGAAATGGGCATGAAAATGTGATGCCCTGTACTGTCCATCCACCCTTGGACTGAACTTGCTGCCAGACTGCATTTTCGAGCTGCACATATGTACAATGCCACAAACCATGCATGGGCAGCACGAGCTGTCAACTAGCCTTGTCCGTCAAAGGCGGTAGTGGGGTCAGCACGGGCGGCCGAAGTCTGAAGGAGGACGTGGAGGACGGCGAGCGACCTCAGATGAGAATGCGGCTCACAGCATCCTTCACGACGTTGCTTGGTGGACTCGCCAGAGACAGCGAGGCCTTGTCACTAATGTGGACGGACGGGCAACTCCTGTGGCACTCATGCCCATGGCCCCTACAATCTCTGTGGCACGCCACCATCGACTTGTAATTTCCGCACACCTCCTCTTTCTCCGTCCACAGCATCGGTTTGACGCACGACTTGTGGCACTGCTCGTCCTTGCCGCACTCCACGTGACAAGCCATGTGCCCCGCCAACAGCTTAAACTCCTCCACGGACGCCGGCATCGACATTGGACATTTCATGTGACAGGCCATATTCTGGAACGGGCACTTGATGGCCTGCGCCTTGCACGACCGATGACAGGCCGCCGTCGTGTTCAATGCCTCGCACTGGCCCTTCAGGATGCCAAACGGCCCGCTCGGGCATGCCTTGTGGCAGTCGTGGTCGCCGCGGCATCCAATGTGACAGCCCCGCACCTCGTCCTCAGTGGCCTGCTGCTCCACCGGCAGGGGTAGCAGGTAGTCCACCACGTGGTTCGCCACGTCCTGCACCAGGCTCCACGGCTCCTGCAGCAGCAGCGCCTTTGCGTCCTTGTCGAGACTGCACGTCGAGTGATTGCCACCCGCCTTGTGACATTGGACTGTGTCTGCAAGCTTCCCGCACGCCGCCAGCCTCTGCCCGAAAGGACAGCTGCAAGCGGTCCTGTGGCAGGACACGTCCCTGCCACAGGCCTTGTGGCAGACCATGGCCTCGCCCAATTTCACCAGCTCCTGTACCGAGGTTGGTTTTGCCTTAGGGCAAGCAAGGTGGCAATTGAAATCACCATGGCCACATGCAGCGTGGCATGCCTTGACCTCCGTCATAGTGCTGTTAAGAATCTCGCACTGCTCAGAGATGCGGGAGAAGGGGCAAGCCTGACGTTCATGCCTGGGCGGCAAATACTTGTCAAAGATGTTGTTGACCGCCTCGGACCAGCTGCCAGGGGGCATCTGAGCAGAGGCAGCGGTAACACCTGCGAAAACGGCGAAAATCTTCATGGCGGTCCGGCCCTGTGGCGGCGGGACTGCGGAGAGGCTGAAGCGTTCCTATTGGGAATCGAAGTTTTTCTAGCTGGCTTGAGCTAGACTTGCTACGGACGTCGTTCGACCCGAACGTTGTGAGCGTGGATGGGGCAGCGACTTAGGCGGTGTCGTGGACGCCGTGAACGGGGGGGCCGTGGGGGCGGAGGGCCATGTGGACGAGGGCGTCGATCTCCATCCCCACTGGCATGGCCGTGGCCCACTGGCCCACTAGCCCCCTTCGGTGGGGATACGGAGACATGCCGTTACCTTCGGGTCTCCTGGCCCCTACCCCCACATGAGGGGTGGGTTGGTGGGTCTGAGATACCATGGCCCAGCCAGAATGGGGACAAAACCAGAAAAAGACGCCCGTGTCGCCGAACATAATTTCGCCCGCGACCTCTTCGCCCGCAAGCGAAACCGGTTCGGGCGAAACCGTCCCGGGCGAAACCGTCTCGGTCGAAACTGTCACCACACGAAATGAAATGCTTCTGGGCGAAACCGTTCCTGGCGAAGCCGTCCCGGGCGAAACCGTCCCAGGCAGAACTGTCCCAACCGTCTCGGGCAAAAACCGTCCATGGCCGAAAAAAACAATAGATATTGCCCTTGTGTGGCTTGCCGTGGAGGTAGGTGGCAGTCTGCCCACAGGCAGCGCTCCCCCGATCCATCCTCCACGATGTGCATGTATATGGTATGCATGTAGTTCATGAATGTGTGTCGTTGTCATGGCATGTGCATGTAGGTATGGTGTGCGTATGTGCACAGGTGTATATATAGAGAGAGATGAATACATCTATATCTATATATATATACACACTAGAACCATCGGGCGCGCTTGGCTCGCGCTCAAGTTCTAGCTAGGCTTGATGGGCTAACTCATGCGATCTAATGTTGGTCGTTTCTTGCATCCAGGTACTCTCTTGGAGGCCCCGCGCAAGCCTCGGTATCAGTTCGGAAACGCAGAAATCATTACTTCCCGTTCGGTATTCAACGAATTGGGGCCCTCAAAGACTTCCTGGGTTCTTTTCTGGGAGCTGAGGGAAGCCTTAATTGTGGTCTGTTGTGCAAGAGTAGACAGGGGGGGGGTGGCGGGGCGAGCTTAACAAAAGCAAGGAATTGTGGGATTCCTTTGTTTTTCAAGTTGCCGTGCGTGGGCTGTGGGTTGGAAGTTTTCTGGATGCAGGCCACGGCATGTTGGGATGCCTCGCGTGGTCTTCGTGCAAAAATAAGCATGGGGCGAGTTTGAAAAGAACATAAACATCTAACATTGTTTTTTCGACTCATGGGATCATGGGATCTCGATTTCTACGGTGGTTTCAGGGGCAGCCAAGAGGACACGAAGACGACCCAAGAGAGTACCAAGACAGCGTTAGAGAGTTCAATTGCACTCCCGAATGATATTTGCATGTGACCCCGAAGTCTTGATGGGGCTCGAGGACGAGGATAGGGAGTAGGAGTCCCAACTTGAAAAAAGGAATATCTGGAAGTCCTTCTTTTTTCAAGTTCCTCGGTCATTGAAGTCTCTTGGAGGCTTTCTGGGAGCCTGGAAAGCCGACCGAAAGCTATCCTGGGTTGCTTGGGAGCGTCTTGGGCCTTTCTTTGACGTTCTGGGGGCTTCTTGGGGTCGTCTTGGGCTGTCCTGGGCGTTTTGGGGGCTCCCCGGGAGGTCGGGAAGCGCGGTACCGCGAGCGTTCCGCAGATGTTCCGGGAAGGTGTGGGACCCCCGAGAGGAGGGGGCGCGCGTTTGTTGAATTTGAAAAGGGGGGAGGAAAAAAAGAAAGATCTGAAATTCCTTTTTGTTCAAATTCCTCGGCCTTGGAGCGTTGATGCCAGAAAACGTGAGAAGGATAAAAAAGTTTACAAAAACCACTGAGCACCAACGTTTTTACCCTCTTCGGGCTCTCTCGGGACGGCTCTCGAAACTCTCTTGGGCTGTTTGGGGGACCTCGTCGAAGCTTTTTGGGGGGCCTCTCAGGGGTCTGGGGTGTGTTGGAGGCCTCTGAGGGGTCCCGGAGTCCTCTCGGAGGTCTCTTGCGGCCTCCTGCTCCCGCTCTTGGGCTCATCTTGGGCCTGTTCTGGGGTGGTCTGGAGTCCGGAGCTGTCCGGGGCGCCTCTTCGGCAGTCTTGGGACCGTCTTGGCCCGTCTTGGGGCCGTCTTGGGGGCCTCTTGGGCGGTCTTGGGGGCCTCTTCGGCCGTCTTGGAGCGTTGGAAGCATGACATGGTGAGAAGGCGAAGAACCCTGGGACGAAAAAACTAAGAAAATTAACGATTTTAGGTTCTCCGGGCGCTCTGGGGAGGCCTCTCGGAGCTCTCTCTCACTTGCCAATCGCCCCCCCTTCCTCCTCCTGCCATCCCCCCCCCCCTCAAACTCCCCCCCCCCCCGCCGCCATCCCCATCCTCTCCGCCATCCGTCCCGCCGCCATCTCCATCTCCCCTCCAGCCTGCAGGCCATCGCCACCCAGGTGAGCAACGATCAGGACATTCCGCGGCAATGTAAGGAATGCTGCGATGCGACCAGACGACGCGCGGCCTGTTTTGCTTTCGTGAACTTCTCGAATCTTAGTATTCAACGCGTACCGCATGCCGACGTCGCTGGGAATTTCCTCGGGGCCATGCTAAATGATGAGGGCGGGAACTTTCCGACGATCCAATTGACGGCATGCGTTGGTAAAGTGGGGGAAGCTTTCAGGATCGAGAACACGATGAACGCGAAGCTCGCCGAAGCGAACAATCACATCGATAGGTTGTGGACACTGGCCCTCGCCAGGCAAGATGATCCACGCGACGTGCGTCCGTTGCTGTATATGGGCAGGGTCGGGCTTCCACTGAACATGTCATTAGCAGATTCGTGCTGGAAAGCGTCAGCCATTATCTCACAGGAGCCTCTTGTGGGGTCTTGTTGTGGGGTCCTGCAACTTGCAAAAGACAGCTGGCGTGAAGCTCATCAAAAACACGTCGGAAGTTGTGTTGCCATGAACAACCAATGAGACAAACAATTTGACGACTCCACAGAAGGTGGTTCAGACTGGCCTGGATGGCTTGCACCGACATTTCGCGCGCAGCCCTGGAGGCACACAGTGCCCGATGCTGCCATCAGCTTGGTTCTATTTTTCTCGCGCGCCGGCGAATGACGTCACATGCCTGGTGCAATTTCATGATTCTGCACCAAGTGCGGTTGACGCAGGCCAGTGGAGGGAGCAGAATTCAGCTTGGGCGAGTGAAGTGTTCATGCCGATTTTGCTGAAGGAGAAGGGTGCTGCCCCGCTACCAGGAGGAAGTTCCCAGGGCAACGGTCGAGGCTGAAGTTGCGCTTCCTCGTTTACATGCGCGCGCGTGGAACGCCGCAACGAAGGCCGATGGCGTTCCCGACATGATGTTGGCAGATGCACCCGGGCCCCGCCACGAGTGAACCATCGATTGGCATGTCGACATTTGCTAAGCAGGGTATCGATGTGAAAGAGAGCACTGGAACTTCAGCTGCTACCGCCCCACGCAAGGGAAAAATCAAAGTGCCCAGAGCCCTGCTGGTGCTGGATCTTCTGACGCTCAGACAGCAAAGACTGAGCGTGGCAATGACGGCAGCGTTGGCTTGGCGGCTATCTCTGACATGGTATCCCCGACGTGCCAAGCAACGCCCCCATCGTCAGGTGGCATTGCGCGTCTGTATCTGATGGGGCAGATCGGACTCTTTCAGACAACTAGGACTGCTGGTTCCTGAATATGTAAATGATGACACAGTGCTGACGGAGGGGAAATGATTGGGGGTCATATCAACTTCGAGCTCCACAGCACCAATGACTTGATTATCCAGGGGAGTATTATGCAGACAGTTGGGGCTGGTTCAGCAGCACGCAACAAGGCCCGTTCAGGCAGCAAGAACAACGTCACGTACCATGATATCACCGAGTGTCCCACAGATGACGACGCGACCCGCTAAACACTGACCCTGAAGCATGAAATGGCGCGGGAGCCTGAGGAGGGTGGCCCGGTCAAGAAAGAGGATAACGCTGTTGCCACAATTGACTGCAACCATTTGGCTGGGGCTGTGCCTGTTCGGCTGCGGCTTACCACTCATGCAAAGCTGGCGCAGGTCATACGGTGGGCGATCGATGGTCTTACTCCTGTACGCCCGCAGACTGTTGCGGTCAAGGCTGTGAAAGCCACTGCAAATAATGTCCTCCCGCCAGTTGCAGTTGCCTCCGTGAACTGATCGGCTATCCATTGGCAGCGCCAAACAATCTGGCAAGGACCGGGACCACAGGAGGTGGAATGATACAATTGTGGTATGTTGCCTACAGGTGGTTGTGGCATGCCACCTACAGTGGGTGGATGATTCATTCAACGCAGTCAGCATCTAGACTGAGTGAGTGCTGGGCAATGCTTGGTTCAGCCTGGCCAACAGAGGAGAATGTTTGCATTGACATAGCAGCTGCTGCAACTTCGGCTACTCTTCTGGAAGGGTTTTATCAAGAAAAACCTCCACGCCCATCATCGCAAATGTCAGCATAACTGTTCAATGTCCACCAATGACGTGACATGAGCAAGGGGAATATAACGATCACGGCAAGTGACAGGGCCTCTCATGGGAGAGTGTGGTTATGGCAGTTGCCTGGAACTCCAATCTGCGTGAGATGACATACTTGGCTGCTCACCTCCACCAGGTCCAAACATGCGCTCCATCCTGATCTTGCGCGCAGCATGCGTGCGCGCGCCAGGCTCACCGCGATATTTCATCACCTGGCGAGCCAGGCAATGCCGCCAATGGGGTGGCCGCAATTTCCAAATTAATCGCCGCCTCAGCCGAGGGTGGCAGACTCCTGCGCGGATGGATTGGGGCTGGGCGGCGTCTGGTGGAGGCGGCACTGATGGGTGAACACGCGCTAGGATGCATAGGGGCAGTAACAAGGTTGGAATGCATGGTCGGTGGAGGGTGCGGATGGGTTGCAACGAGCTGGATTATTTCGCCCTCCCCTTGTACATATCCTCCTATCTGCCTCCTGGCGATCCAAAGGAGCCGCGCATTCGTCTGCAGTGAAACGAGTGCGCTTGTGGCCAGCTTTGCGAGACGCTTTGGATCATGTGCTGGGCGCCGTATGCTCCTCGAGCGGATGGGATGCTGCTTGCCCCCAATGCGCCCATCCCCCCCCCCCTCGGCCGCCAAAAATTTTCGCCCCGTGGACTCTCAGCAAAACAAAAAAGGCGATGGCCTGGGGCCCCTGGGCCCGACGATGCCGGGCCCCTCAATCAGCCCGGGGCAAAAGGGGGGGGGCCTCGGGGGATGCGGGCTCCAGAGAGCCCCCCCATCCACGTGACGCTCAACATCTATTTATCGCAAGGAAATCGCCAGGCCCAAGCCCGAGCTGAACAAGACGCGGCGTCAGGGCGCGATCGACCCTGGCTCGCACTCATGTCATGGCACATGCTGGAGGGGGTCAGAAGGGCGGGGGGGGGGAGGCGGGGCGCGACGACGCGCTCGGGTGCCGCGCCCCACCATTGCACGAACCCCGGCGCGACAACGCGAACTGCGCGCGGCGCCCTTGAAGCAGCAATCCAGCGCCCTCAGCTGCAGCAGAGGAAGACGCCGCGCACTCTGCAGACTCCTCCACGAGCGGTAGAACAACATCATACTGCACATCGTCATCTTGATCAGGAGCAGCAGCTGCAGTATAAACGCAGCGTTCATCATCCTGAACAACATCAGCAGCAGCTGCGCGAGCGCGTTCATCCTGGACAGCAGTTGCAGCTGGCAGCAACCACTGATCGCCTGGCCCCTCCTCCTCCTGCCTCTCCTCCTCGCTTCCTCCCCCTCCTCGCCCCCCCCTCCTCCTCGCCGCCCCCCCCCATCCTCCTGCCCATCTCGCGGGCGCTTGAACTTGCGATCGGACAGCCGGCGACGCGCGCGGCGAAGGAATGGCAGCGCCAACGCACGCCGTAATCATCGGGTCTCGGCGGCCCATGCCCTGAGCGCCCCAACGAGGCTATATTGATTTGATGCATTGAGCCGAAATGGCTGTCGAAATGATTAGCGGCATGCTACGAGGTTAATGGGGGTGAGGCGATCGGGAGAAACGCAATGGGCTGCCATGCTTTATCGTCCTCCTCCTCCTCCTCCTTCTTCCTCCTCCTCCCCCTCCTTGTAACTCGTCGCCTCCGCCCCCTCCCCCCGCTATCGCCACGTGTCTTGTCTTTATCTTGGTCGAGGATGCCCTTGGTCATTTGAAATGCACGCAGTATCGGCCCTCGCGCCATGAGCATTCTGGTTCAGAGATCTAGTCTGCGTGGAATTGAAACCTACCAGGAGCTGTCACCAGCCTGCGCCCGCGTGCAATGCCCATGCCATGCATCTGTGGGCGTGGCATTGCGTTGGCTGAGGAGATCCATTGCTGGCGTGCATCATGACGGGCATGGGTGGAGAATTCAGCTCCTCGTAGCACCAACGAGGATTATCCTGAAGGCGCCGCGGTGGGCAAGTTGCTCGGCGCTCTCGAGAGCGACACCAGCGTCTACAATAAGCAGAAGTTATTTGCGCACTTGCTCCCACATCGCACGACAAGACAATTCGATTTCGAGGGCCCGTGCTTGCCAAGTGATGTGCCTTTTATCTGTGGGGTGAGCCTGTCAACCACAAAGGCGCCTGCGTGCGGATCTCAGTGACGGACCTTCAGCCAAGTGTTTCATGTGTGCGTCGATGTTTACAAAAGCCGTAATTGCGCAGGCTCTGTGGGATCCCCTCGAGATACGTCCCCCCGAGCTCCACAATGCACCCCAAATGCTGAGGCAACTCAGGGCTCCAGTACCACCGCCTCAAATGTCAGAAGTTCCTGGTGTTCTTCACGACCCAACGCTGAAGTGCCAAGTGTTGATCCAGGACATGAACCAACGGATGCCGAAAAACGCTCCTATAACCCAGCCTCCTTTCCAAATGAAGATCCGCGGCAGAATGCTTGCTCTATTGCGCGTGTCCTCGAGGGCCATTTGATTTCGAGTCTGGGCCGCCCCAAAAACTCGGCTGCGCAACATCGCCTCTACAGGAACAACAAGGGCTTTGCCGAACGCACTCCAACTACTAGTGATTCAGAGGCGTGGCCAAAGTCGCGGCGCCAGTCAGACACGAGTGCTCCTCCATCGAGGCGGTCGCCGATGGGGGCGCCGACGAAGGCGGTGGTCATGAACGGCTGAATGACCTTGGAGAACCGGATGCTTGGCATACAGCGATGCGTCACCCTGGCCCTGGCCCCCGATGGGCTAGAGCCTACGGGACACCATCGCGTGGTAGTTGTACGCTGCCGTCCAAGTTGGGAGGAAGAGTAGGGGGAGGAGCATTGGGTCGCCGATGCTCCGTCAAATAATCGCTTACCGAAGACGTAGACCATCTCCTTAGGTCGGGCACAGAAAACACATGGGGTGTCCTGCAAAGACGGCCAGAAACACCGGACACCCTCGCCCTCTTGATGTTCGCCTTGCGGACGTAAGAGCCGACAGAGTTAAAGAGTATGTACCCTGCTGTTGCTAAATCAACCTCGCCACGCATAACGCACGTGTACAAGCTCTTCATAGCCATCTGTAAGATGCGACTGCCTTAATTCAAATGCACCAAGCCTGAAGCCACTAGAATACACGGAGAACCCGTCGAGGCCACGACGGAATTGGTGAGCGAAGCACTGCTGATACCATCAACAAGTTTGCAAGCACAGAGAAGCGATGCTCACCCTGGATCACTGGCTTAGGGCCCTCACGAAAGACCAACGGGCCAAGACAATGTAGAAAGCAACGAAGCGAAGACAACGCAATCGGATACGACAAGAGAGACCAGCTGTACTCGACAACCACGGCGAACCTGTGCTCGGGTCGGAGGTGGGGTACGGAGAGAGCTTATTCTGGATGAATGCCTATGCCGACACACTTCCCGGAAACCACTCCGATGGCTGAGGGAACTTAGACCGTACTTGTGTAAACCTCCCAGCTTCCCAATGCCTGTGCATGCACACGGCTGCGGCAAAGACAGGAGTGTAAGAGCAACTGTGAACCTGATGGCGATACCTTCATCTGATCCAGCAATCGTCCTGGCGCTCCCCTTCCATCAGGCGGTTGGAGAATGGCGACCCTGGGTTGCGGAAGTCCCAGTACAATGGTTCGCGTTGTCTGGACGGCATGGCCCACAGGCTCGGAAACGTGGGATCGAACACGCGGCATGATTGGTGGGAGGTCCGCGTTGCCGTTGATCTCTGGCCGCGGTGCCACTGATGGAGTCCTCGTTCCCCAAGCGTACCAAAATGAAAGAGATGTCGTACGGTGGATCATCCTTTCCTGTCAAAGGGACGGATACAATTCGGCGGTGGACAAACCGCCCTTTAGTAAACCACCCTTTACTGAAAACGGCCTAGGGCCGAAACCGACGGACCTGGACCCGCAAAAATGACGGCCGCGACGCCCTCCCGCGAACCACAAACGTTCAATTCGCGAATCGACATGTCAGGGTAGGAGGTCTATCAACCTCCGAAAAATGATGTCGCCCATACCCGAAATGTGTCATCGCCGTGGGATGAACACATGCAAACGAATACGAGCTGGAAACGGAAGCGGGCGCAGCACGGTGGAGATGGAGGGGGATGGCATCAAGGATGCTCGAAGGATCTGAACAACAGAGGGGGAGGGGGGGGGAGGACCCAAACTCAGGGTGGGAGGAGCAAAACTCGGGGGAGGAGGAGGAGGAGGAGGAGGAGGAGGAGGAGGAGGAGGAGAAGCAGGAGGAGGAGGAGGATTAGGAGGAGGAGGAGAAGCAGGAGGAGGAGGAGGTGGAGACCTCAGGGGCTGGTGGTGGCTCTCTGTGGTGCCCGTGGGCGAGGCCGCGGCTCGCCTCGGCCAGGCGGGACAGCTGCCCGCGCAGCCGCACCTCCTCGGACAGCCACGCCGTCTGCGTGCCGCGCTCCTGGCCGCGAGAGGTCGGGCGCACGCGCGCGAACGCGCTCGAGGTGTGTGTGTGTGTGCGTGTGGGAAATAACAGCAGCACCACCACCAATCACATCAACAAAACAACAACAACAACAACAACAACAACAACAACAACAACAACAACAACAACAACACCAACAACAACAACAACAACAACAACTACAACAACAACAATCATTTTACCCGAACGCTCAGTGTTCTCACCAGTGCCAGGGTTTTCATGCGACGCGAGACAATACCCCCACTTCGTGGGGGGGCAGTTCAAGCTCTACCAAATATCCAAACGACTCTTCGCGACCACCCAAACCCAGCTTCCCGCCCTATGACGTTGGGACACTTCACTTCGTGGCGTGCGGACGACCGTGGCTACTACACTGGCGTGGGGTACACACCCACAGAACTTGGTCACTTATTCGGGGCGCGCGTGTGCCCAGCATCCTGCAATTGTGACATACAATACATGACACAGACAGACAGAGAGAGAGACAGAGAGCAGACAGAGAGAGAGACAGAGAGAGCGGAGTTGGTCACATTTTTGGGGCAAGTTCCTGAGATCGTCGTGTTTTTTGTTGGTCTTGCGCGCGCGAATGTCCACTTTACTTTTTTTTGCAAGGGAGTATTGAAATTTGATTATGTTAGAACAAGAAAAAGTAGCTCGCGCGAGCTCATGTAACAGAAATGTTGAAAAACCATTGGTTTTGTGGGAGTCGGACAGCGCGCGCGGGATGAAATTTGGACATTTTTTTTTGAAAAACCATTGGGTTTTTGATGTTTTTATGTTGAAATCGTTACGAAACCTAAGGTTCTGGAAGGATTTCGTCTTGCGCGCGCGAATGTCCACTTTACCTTATTTTTTGCAAGGGATTATTGAAATTTGATTATGTTAGAACAAGAAAAAGTAGCTCGCGCGAGCTCATGTAACATAAATGTTGAAAAACCATTGGTTTTGTGGGATTCGGACAGCGCGCGCGGAAGGACATTTTGACAATTTTTTCTTAAAAAACCATTGGGTTTTTGATGTTTTTATGTTAAAATCGTTACGAAACCTAAGGTTTTGGAAGGATTTCGTCTTGCGCGCACGAATGTCCACTTTACCTTATTTTTTGCAAGGGATTCTTGCAATTTGATCAAGTAAGAACAAGAATTTTCATTTTATAGTGTTTTTTGCAAGGGAAAACGGACTACAACAAAACAACCGGATCCGGACACAATCGTTTTGCCTGAGACTTCCTCACGAAAATGATGAAAATGTGGCTGCGGCCTAGGCGCGGCGGGGGGGTCGTGCACCAGGGGTCCCAACAATAATTATTCTTAAGAAGAAATAATGTTCAACACCAACACCAACAACAACAACAACACAACACCACCAACAACAACAACAACAACAACAACATCAACACACCAACAACAACAACAACAACAACAACAACAACAACACAAACAACAACAAACAACAACAAACAACACCAACAACAACAACAACAACCACAACCACAACCAAAACCACAACCACAACAACGACAACAGCAACACCAACAACAACAACAGCAGCAACACCAACAGCAACAGCAACAGCAACAGCAACAGCAACAGCAACAGCAACAGCACCTACAACAACCACAACCACAACCACAACCACAACCACAACCACAACCACAACCACAACCACAACCACAACCACAACCACAACAACGACAACAGCAACAACCACAACGACGACGACGACATGAACAGCAGCAACACGAATAATACGTACTATATATAAAACCCTCGGTACCCGCCCTCGTCGTCTTCGATCGTAACCCCTTGGGGGTATGTCTTCTTTGCCTGCCACGTGCATATGGTGCAGCCCCTAAAATAAGGGAAGAGAGGGCGGGTGGAAGGGGGGGGAGAAGATTGGAGCCCGAGAGAAATTAGCCTGAGGGAGGCAAGGAGCAGAGAACAAGTGGTATAACCAGACGGGCAGATCGGGTGGGCAGACCCAAAGCGGGCAGGTCGGGAAGGCGGGCCAAGGCGACGAGGTCGAGCAGGCGGGTTGCTGAAGCGTGGGTCCTGCATGAATCGCGAGGAAGTCTCGAGAGATAGCGCGATTCCCAGGCAAATCGCAAAAGTCAAAGAGAGAGCATGATTCCTGAGCGCCAAGGGCGCATCGTCTGAATAAATTGCGAGGAAGTCCCACGCGAGAGCGCGATGCGTACATGAATTGTGAGGGAGTCCCGCGCGAGAGCGCGATGTAGGAATAAATTGCGAAGAAATGTCAAGCGGGACCCGCTGATGTTGTAAACTGGGGGCCAGGGTCAAACTTTGAGCCCCGTGACTTTCCCTGATATAACGCAGGGTGCGAGCCCCGGGGGAAGCACTTCAATCGAAAAAACACAATGGCCACCGGAGGGGAGGATCAGCAATAATGATTATTCAATCGTGAGAGTTCAACAACAACAACAACAACAACAACAACAACACAAACAACAACAACAACAACAACAACAACAACAACAACAACAACAACAACAACAACAACAACAACAACACCAACAAAACCAACACCCCAACCACCATCAACAACAACCACAACCACAACTACAACAAGGATAGGGACGTTCCTGGACGCCCTTGGTGAGGGCGACGGCTGGAGCCGGCTTCGGCGGGATACGAGCCTTCCCTGACGACCTTCTCCGGGGCGACCCCCCCGATGTTTGCAGCCGATGCGTAGGCACAGAGGCACAATCACGCAAGACAGACATTCGTAGGCTACCACACAGGCGGCGATTCTTCAACGCAAAAGCTTGCGTTCAAAGCCACCTTTGAACCCAAAAGCTTGCGCGAAAAAGGATGAGGAGCTCTCGTCGGGCGCTTTTGGGAGCCTTGAGATTCTCGGGCTTTCTGGGACCTCTGGGGGTCGACCAGGGAGGTCCCCAGGGGGAAGGGGCACCGAAATACCAGGGAGGAGCCGGCACGGGGCCCCTGGCCCAGGATCTCCCTTGTGCGTATGTATGTACATGCGTTCGCACACATACATACACCTGTACACCTCTCTCTATATATGTGTGTATGTATTATGTGTACTGATGTGCCTTAATCCTACTGGTAACGAGGTCGAGAAAGTAACACCATCTGTGATTAGCAAAGGACTGAATTATAACTCGTGAAAAACGATCGGGGCAACCATCACGATAACCATCGGAACAACAATAAATCCAACCATCGGGACAACCATCGGGACAACCGTCAAGACAACCGTCGGGACAACCACGGCGACGATCATCGGGACAACAATCGGGGCAATCATCGGGGCAATCGTCGGGCCAACCATCGGACCAACCATCGGGACGACCATCGGGGCAACCATCGAGACAACCAAAGCGATGATCGCGACAATCATGGAAACAACAATCGGGACAACCGTCGGGACACCGACCTGGACAACCATATCAAAACAACCGCCGGTGCAACCAACAGAACGACCATCGGGACAACGATCGGGATAACCATCGGGACAAACATCCAAACAACCATCGAGACAACCGTGTACATGTCCGCCAGTCCCCTTGCAGGAGATTTCAACTTATACATAAGGGCCATGAAGCTGCGGGGCTGAAATCCCCTGCGCCCTGCCCAAGTTCCAGATTCCAATCGTCAACGCGGGGGGCGAGCGGGCCGACCGACGGGGGGGGGGCGAGAGGAAAGAGAGGAAGACACCACGCCACAAGGACAAGAAAAGGCACGGAAAGAGAGAGAAAGAGAGAGAGAGAGGCAAAAGAGAGAGACAGAGAGAGAGAGAGAGACAGAGACAGAGAGGCAAAAGAGAGAGAGAGAGAGAGAGATAACACATCCAAAATAGAAGGAGAGGGAGAGGGAGAGAGGGGGAGGAGAAGCCAAAAGCCTAGGACGATGAGCCCAGAGGAGAGAGACAAAGGCACACGCACAAAGACAGGGAAGAGAGAGAGGAGGGGGGCTCGCAGCCCAGGTGCACGCGCGCGGAACGAGGGGAAGGAGGGGGAGGAGGGAGGAGGACGGAGGGCGGAGGAAAGGATGGCGATCGGCCACGTCGAGCGTCCGCGCTCGACGCAGAGCCACCAGCCGACCGGCCTGGACAAGCTCATAAACCAAGGGAAGCGATGCCAGTCGCGCAAGGGCGCAGCCCGCGGAAAGCAGGATGCGCCAGGGCGCAGCCCTACGACTCGGCCAAAATCCAACGACAAGCACGCCGTATTTGTATAGGTCCGTTCAAGCTGGAGGGGAGGGAGCGGGGCAGCGAGGGGGGTGGGGAGGCTCACTCGTCGACCTGGTCAGTCGCGTGCTTCTTGCGTGCGGGACCCCCCAGACCGGCTCAGCCGGCGCCAGGCTCACCAGCGCCTTCCGCGCCGACAGTTTGCTGTCGAACTCCACCGCGACAGCCCCGCGGGTGGCGCCGCGCCGCCTCGGCGGCGACGCCGCCGCGCGGGCGCCGCCGCACTCGGAGCAAACGCCCTCGACTGGGTCAGCTTCGCCATGGGGGGTGGGCGAGGAAAGGCGCGGCGCCCCGTGGCCAAGCGGTGCATGGGCAAATGCACCCCGGCGCGACGCGTCCTCCACCTGGTAGCACTTTTGGAAGAAGGCTCTCTTGACCTTCAACCCCCCCCCAACGATCGACAGCAGGGCGCCGCCCTCGTCCGAAGAGAGCAAATGAGCATTTACCCGATCAAGAAGATTGCCCAACTCACGCGCGGATTCGCCCCCAGACGCCCCCCTCGAGCCGGACCCCAGAGCGCTCGAAGCACTGGCAGACCGCTCGCGCCTCGCTGCGGGGCCGACTGGCCTGCCGACGAGATCGGCGATGCTTCTGCTGCTCTGCGACCTGTCGCTGCTCTCGGTACTGGGCGCCCGGCTAGGGCTGCGCCCGCGCCCGCGTCGGCGGGGTCTCAGGGCGAGGTCGCGGGCCTGGGCGTTGCGCGGCTCGCATGCCGAAGTCCCGCGAGGCAGCCGAGCCTCTCCACAATGAGTGGCGACCGTGCTGGCCGCGCGAATTGCATCAATGACCGCGCCGCTAGCCAGCGCGGCAAGCGGCGCTGCAACACCCAACAACTTACCAATCTCGTCGGCGGCGGGCCCCCGCAGCGCCCGGTCGTCGCGGTCGCCTGCGGGCTTATTGCGGACGATCGTCATCGATGTCCCTCTCTGCCACCACGCTGGCATCATCGATGATTGAGGTCGCGGATGCGTCCGCCAAGACCTGGGTACCATTCACTCTGGCAAATGACTCTGCATCCACAATGCCCCGGAAGAGCTCGGAGCCGGCTGCGACGGTGAACCAAGTGATCCGATCGCGGCAGCCGTGCACGCGACCGAGAAACATATACTCACTGACATCGCCGCTGCTGTCACTCACGTAGGCGAGCCCGGCTCCACAAGTTACCGGCGCCGCCCTGCCAACGGGCCCGCCTGGCGCGAGGCCGAAGGCCGGATCCAGACGCAAACCTCGAGCGGCGCCTTGCCGTCGGAGCGGAATGACCAGATCGGGATCTCGCCCCGAGACCAGACCCGCGCCGCAAGATCGTGCAGCTGGAGAAGAAGTGCATAGGAATGCGGCGTTATCAAGGGCTGCCCCAGTGGCAACTGCTCCGAGCATCACATACGCTTTGTGCGCAACTATGCCTGTGCCCTCGACGCGGACCTCGGCGCTCTGAGGAGCGAGCGACAAGGCTGCCTGGGCCTTAGCCGCGACCATCGTATCCCAAGCTTCCCCGATCGCCTGAATGTTTGCCCGGATCACGCCGATTACCCGGCCGACGCTTGTGGGCGGGATCTGCAAAACAGGCGGCGCCTCCGTGAGTGCCCCAATTCCTGGTCGCGCACAGGCAGTCTCGGGCCACCGATACTTGGGGGATGGCTTTGGGGCTGCAGCCTGCCCCGCAGTTTGGCCCGACGCAACAATTTACGCTTCTGCTGCGGATCCAACTCGCGATGCGGTTGCAGCCCAATGTCTCGCAACTGGCGGAGAAGTTTTCGCAAGCGAGGGCCCGAAATATTGGCAACAGCTTCAGTATCAAAGGTGGCCCTTGCACTCGTCACCACATCAAGCTTCCGATGCGTTGCCGGGTCGTCGACCCAACTGGCCACGTTCAGCGTGCCGATCGTGCGGCGAGCGGCGAAGTCATCCAAACACGACAAGGGATGATTACCTTGCCTACTTGAGATCCAGTGGGCCCCATCAACCAGCAGGACCAGCCAATGCCCCAAAGAATTGCCAATACGAAACTCGCGAGGGTGTGGCTTGCCCTGGGTGACCTGATGCTGTGCGAACTCCGTCCTGTATAGTTTCGGGCAGGTTTGGTCCGCCGCGTGGTTGGCGAGAGCATACACGCACCGCACCGTGGGCAGGGTGACGACGAAGCGAAACCAATGAGCAGCTTCTTCAACTTGATATTTGTTTATTAACAGGTACGGATCATCCAGAATCATCCACGTGGTGCGAATTTCTCTGGCAAAGCTCCCAAAGACATGTTCATGCGTGTGTCCGAGCTGTTGCGTAGGGATCCGCTGCGGACGGCGCAGAGCGTTGAGCGGATTCGTGGGGGCAGCGCTGATGTGGGCAACCGCCGTCAGTAGCGGCCCGTCTGCCCGGGCACCTGTTTTTCCCCTCGAACAGAAGCTCGCATCTCTGGGTCGCCGTCCTGAGGAAGATTGGGTTCACCAACTCCCGAAAAAAAGGGTCAGCTGCCCGAAAAAAGGCGGCACCGCAGCCGGCGCCGCAGCAGGGGCCACCTCCACAGCAGCATGTTCAGGCCGCCGCTGGACCAAGCTATGCTGCACACCAATTCGTTCTCTGCCTTCGTCATGCATATCCTGCCGACCCAGACCTGGAGGCAAGTCCGCTGCCCGGGGAGGCGACCATACCCAACACCACGCACACTGAGAAGCGCCGGCAACCAATGGCACGGCACAGCAAGGGCAACAGCGGCACCCGTGGAGCCCCTGCATGAGGTTCAGCGTGTATCCGAACATCGATGAGGTAGAGCTCAATTGAAGCATAGCGGTCTCGTGCTTAAGCCTCGAGTGTCGCCAAATGCTCGGTCAGTGCCCCTTCGTGGCGCTGAACAGCAGGAGGATGCGAACGATGCTCATCTCCTCCACCCTCGACGGAACGATCCTGAGGCCCACCTCCGTGTCTCCTAGCAGCAGGAGGAAGCTGAAGAGGAGCGCTCCACGGGCCCCTCCGCGACGACGAGCAGCAGAAAAAGGGCCAGGACGACTATCTGCGGGCCCGCCAGCGCCAGGCGCGCCCTGCTCGCCACTCCAGCGCCGCCACCGTGCAGCACTCAGCTGTCTGCGCCTTCGCGCGGCGGGAGTCTCCGCGCCTGTGGCGGCTGGCAGACGAGGCAACCGCCTGCGGCACGGAAGCCCTGCAGCTGCGTCCGCCCAGGGATCCGCAGCCCGCTGTAAATCCTCGGCGGGCGGAATGTCGGCGCCGGCGGTCGCTCCAGCCCCGCTGCAGTGGGTCGGCGGCAGGCGCCCCTCGCGCCTGCCAGCCACCGCTCCTGGCGTCCGCGGCCATGCCAGGACTGAGATAGAGCGAGGGGGATGCAGGAGAAAGCGAAAAGGAATGCGAATGGGCCTCCTCGGCCGCGGCTTGTCCCAGAGTGGCTTGAGCCAGGCTACGGAAGTTTGAATACACACACACACATCCAAGCATACATACAAGCACACATGCACCGTGCATGCATCCACACATACAGACATAGCACGCATAACATACGTACATACATACATACATACATACATACATACATACATGCATACATACATACATACATACATACATGCATGCATGCATACATACATACATACATACATACATACGTACATACATACATACATACATACATACATACATGCATACATACATACATACATACACGCATACACACATACGTACATATATACATACATACATGCATGAACACATACATACATACATACATACATAAATACATACATAAATACATACATACATACATACCTACATACATGCATGCATGCATTCATACATACATACATACATACATGCATGCATACATGCATACATGCATACATGCATACATGCACGCACGCACGCAGGCATACATACATACATGCATACATACATACGTACATACATACATACATGCATGAATACCTACATACATAAATACATACATACATACAAACATACATACATACATACACACACATACAAACATACATACATACATACATCTGTGCAAGCTGGGGAGACTCCCGAGGGCCAGACTTGTTTTGCATCCGCAACTCTGTGTGATGACTCGTCCCGGAGCTCCGTGAAACGTTGACTGAACGGGCGAGGCCCCTCGACCAAGGAAACCGTGGCCCGAGACAATCACAGTCCACTGGACACTGCTCGAGCTGAAAATGGGATGGGGGCGCAGCGTGGGCGGGAGGCTTGAGCACACGTGTCAGCGGCCCTCTCCCGCTTCCCACACGCAACAAAGAATCTATGGCACGCCATTGCAATCTGTGCAAGCTGGGGAGACTCCCGAGGGCCAGACTTGTTTTGCATCCGCAACTCTGTGTGATGACTCGTCCCGGAGCTCCGTGAAACGTTGACTGAACGGGCGAGGCCCCTCGACCAAGGAAACCGTGGCCCGAGACAATCACAGTCCGAAACCTTAAAAACTCGAGCACCAGCGAATTTTAAAACCCTGGCCTTAGGCCTCCACAAACCTGTCCAGGCTCAGAAACGAATGGTTTCGCAGAGCCTGTTGGAAACACTTAGCTACCAGCCTGCAAAAATCTTTTGGGTACGGTTCTGCGATGTGCGTCCAGAAAATGCCTGAGGCATCTTTGCCCTCGAGGACCTGATGGGGGCGGCGGTTAAAACTGCAGACCCCACGACCCGAGCATTTATAGGGGATGAGCGGGTCGAGGTTGAGATGGCAGTACAGCAGCCGAGTGCGTTTGCGCCAAGGGGTCGAGAACGCACAGAAATCAAAGTCCACAATACGAGTGTTACGAATTCGAATGAGACTGCGCGCACCTGGAAGCTGCCACAACCAGGATGTGCTGGGATTCTCAATCACTACTGGTATGTTTAAACTGCGGGCAAGCAAGAAAAGAGAGAAGCTGAAAGTGGCAAGTGCGTTTCCTCTCTCGACCTTGAGCTGATCTCCTGGCGACAGGCCTGGCAGCCCCAGCGGAAACAAAGCCGTCCGCAAGGGTGGTGGCCCGTTGGGGCGGTTGCGGGCGCGGCTCATGGACTGGCAGGGCGTCGCAATCCAGATCGCGACGATGAGCCGACTCCGCACCCAGCCTCGAACCTGCTGCCTGATCCGCCTGAGGAGGAGGTCGCTGTCGGCGTCGTGGCGGATGTCCAGCTCGAAAGCGGCATGCTGCGAATGGAAACGCAGGCGCCACGCTGCCGCCATCCGCCCGGAGCCGCTGAAGACCTCCAGGAGGACGCCGGATCTGGAATGTCTCACCCACGATGCCAGCTCGCCGACGGGGTGGCGCCAGGCCCGCGGAGCGCCTGCTCGGCACGTAGCGGCAGGGCGCGCGGCAGCCCGCGAAGCTGCTCCTGCACCTGCCTCCCCTCGGCGTAGCATTGAAGCGCGGCGTCGGTCGACCACCTGGCGCGCATGCGGATGTCCCGCAGAGGCCGCGCCGCCGCGAACAGCTCGTGGCTTGCGCCATTGTGCCCGTGCATCAGGTTGCTCCAGACCTGCAGGCCGAGCCCGGCAAAGACGGCCTTGACGTGGCCGCTCCACTGCGCCTGGGCCACCGGAAAAGGGCGGTGGCCACCGGGCGTCCGGTGGTGCGGCTCCTGCTCGGGGCGTGGCGCCCTCGGGGAGCGGGTGAAGCCCGCCCGCAGGGTCTCGTCGAGCATGTCTGTCAGGGATGGGGTCTGCATGTCGGACAGCTGGAGGACCATGCACCACTGGTGCAGCCCCACGGCAGCGGTGAGCCTTGGCGGGATGAGCTGCGACTGCACGAAATCCAGCGCCTCGCGCGGCCTCGGGTGCAGGTCGAGCGTGGGCGCGGTGGGCCAAGCGTACTCCTCCAGGCCCCTGCAGCACAACGTCACCACGATGAGGCACACCACAGGCCGTGAGAGCGTCAGCCGCGGCCGCGGCGGCGCCAGGCAGGACCAGGTCTTGGCTGCCCGTGCCGCCCACAGCTGGCGCCACTGCCGCGGCCCGAGGGTCGAACGCACGAAGGCAAAGGCCGCCATCAGCATCCACACGGCGCTGCTCTTGCCCCCGTCCAGGAACTCCTCCAGGAGGGTCAAGCCCTGGCGGGGGGCCGCAGCCGGGAGGAAAAGAAAAAGGTTCGCCTCCCCCCGCTGACGGACTGCCCAGCGGTCGCCCTCGGCTGGGCGCGCTGCAGTCTCCGGCGCTGCATGCGGCCTGCCCTGCAGCTGGCGAGCGCCCACAGCACCCGCAGCCGCAGTCGGCCTCCTGTGAGCCCGCCTCGCCGGCGCGGCAGGGGCCGCCCTGTCGTCGAGGACCGACACCAGCATTGCCGCCGTCATCCTCCCAGAGGCCCAGCGCCTGGGCGGGCGGGCAGGACGCGTCGAGCTTCGATGTCTTGATCCGCACGGCCTCGGGGGTGTCACCAGCCTGGTCACGAGACGCTGGATCTGCGCTGTTATGTTCTGATGGGACCCAACGCCAGCTAGCAGATGAACCTGAAGCCAACAGAAGAGCACATGCCTGACGACAGATTCTCAAAAGCGGGGGCGACGATGATCTGCCCTTGAGAAGGGCCAACACTGGGGCCATGGAGTCATTCAAGATGATGTGCGTGGTGTTGAAGTTTCGAGCGGCTCGCAATCGATGTTTCAGACACAAGACTAAGGCTCTCCCCTCCAGCACCACCTGAGCCTCCCTCCTGGTCCACGGTGTAGATAGAACCCGATGCCATCCTTCCGCCCAGACCTCCTCGGGCACCTCCTCGAACGTGATTTCATCCCCCTGATTCGGCTTCGGCTCGACTCGGAACGGGACCTGCTGCTCCATGGCTGCTGCTATGACTGCTGGATCGCGGTAGGGCTCCGACGAGGCTTGCTTGATGCATGACGAGGTGATACGCTGAGCTTGCTTGCTCTCCGAGGCTAAGGCCTTGTCGCGAGGGGCAACCTGTTGCTCGCCATCCCGACTGAACCTCCATCGTTCGTTGAAGATAGACAAACGACGAGCTTGGTCCGAGGTGATGGTCTTCTCTGTCACACCAGCGCCCCACCACGAGGCGTCCACACAGGACACGACAGGCGACAAGGGCCGCCCGGCGTCTCGAAAACACAAAGGCAGCAGTGCGCGGCACCAAGCCAGTTCCCGTCTCACTGCCGGCGTCAGCCGCCGCCTCTCGCGGCCGCCGTCGCCCATGAAGCCGTACACGGCCCCTAGGCAGCTCAGCAGCTCTCGACGAATTAGCGCCCTCGAAGTGAAGTGCGATATCACCTTCATCATGGTGTGACCGCTGCACCAGCCTTGCTCCAGCAGCTCGCCGATGCCGAGGCGAAGCCGCCAGCGTAGCCGAACGCTGAGGCCGATCACGGGCTTGTCCTCGTCAAAGTGCCAGCCCAGCGTGTCCCCGCCGACTGATGCCTCCACGGGGTGCGAGGGAAGGTCTGAAACAGTCAGCTCCCCCTGTACTGCAGTAGCTGCATCACGCACCTCGCGCAGCCTGTGGGACAGGGCGATGAAGTTGTCGACGTAGACCGTGCGCGCCATTCCCTGCTGCAGGTCAGGCGCGGGCCGACGGTCCACAAGTCGACGGCCAAAATGGCCAGGAAGCGCTCGGGCGGTCACCGCCTCGTTCAGGCTCTGGCATATCCATAGGCTGATGCTCCAGCCCATCGGCGGGCACCGAAAGCACGGTACCACCCAGGCCGAGGGTCTCACGGGCGTGCCGTCGGACAGGTTCGCCAGCCCGAGGTCGCCAGCCCTCACCTTGGGCAGCCCGAAGTAGCGGCGCAGCCACTGTGGGAGCTCGATCTGGTAGAACGCGTCGCAGATGTCGACCCCCCCGATGCTGATGGGCTCGTCGCCGTCGACCGAGATCTGGGCGAACGCTGAGCCCGTCGCCAGCTCCACGGGGTCTGCGGGCGCAAACCTAAGCGAAGCGTGCCTCCCGTCGAGGATCATCCGCAGCGACCCGTTCTTCTTGCCAACGTAACACTCCGCCGAGCTGCTGAAGTCCACCAGCCCGGCGCTCATAAGCCGCCGCACCACCATTTTATAGAGGCGCGGGTTGCGAAGGGCAGGGTCCGTGTAGAGCCGTCTCGGACCCACCTCCTTGATGCGCTCCATCCCCAGCTGTTGGGGCAAGAGTAACTCTTTCAGCCGGCGAGCGATGTTCTGGCCTGCCATCTCGTCGATAGCCTCCAGGGCGGCGGGCTGGCTGCCGGCAGGAGGCAGGGAGATGGAGTCGACGAGGTCGAAACTCACCGGGGCAACCAACGTGGCGTCACCCTCGTATGATTGAGATATCCGGAGCTCCTCAAGGGCTCCTGGACCGTCCAAGCCCTCTGGGCACGGGCCAAACCTCACAGCGGCTTGTCGGAGCTCCGAGAGGACGAGGGCGTGGCCAGCGGCAGGCACCGGCATGCCAGCGGGCGCTTGACGGCGCGCCACGGGCGGGCAGCCCCACAGGTCGTTCAGCGCGTCGGTCATCTCCTCGACCATGCCGTGAACGTGCGACCGCTTCTCAAGGCGCCTGCGCACTGACCTTGAAGGCGGGGAAGTCGTAGTGGGAGAAGAGGCTCCAGCGCCAAAGTAGGGTAAAGGAAAGAGATCACGCTGGCGAAGGTCGGCGCTGGAGTGGGAAGCCTCATGTACAGGTAGATCCGCTGCACCCGCGAGGCCCACGGGCACCCCCTCTATCAGCCTGGTTGACTCTCGGGCGAGGGGCACCCAAGAGCCGCCCGCGTCGCTCATGATGTTTGAGCGCGACGCTCCTCACGGGCCATCCTGATCTGCTTCAGGTTCCCTGCGTCGCGCTCCATCTGGTTGGAGACGTGCTCCAGCAGCAGCGGGCATATCCTCGAGCGGCCATCCTCCTTGGCCGCTCCTGTGAACACCGCCGCTTCGTCCACGATGCCGTACCGGGGGGGCCCTCCTCCCCGACCTCGGCCCTTCTTCCTGCCGTTGCCCTCATCGCCGCCCCTCGAGCCTCCCGACTGCTGCGCCTCGAACTCCGTAGAAGGCCTGTACTCGTAAAGCTGCGCCTGACGAATGGTCAGCTCCGCCGCCACCAGGTCGAGGATACCCCACTGGTCCCAGCACTCGAGCTGCTCGATCATCCTCACTATGCTCGCACAGTGAGCGACCCCGAAATCCTCCCTCGTGAGATCGGAGAAGGCCACGAAGCTGTTGTAGTGCTCCACAGGACCGTTCCTCGGCCTGTCGATGAACTCCGCGCACCATGGCATGGTCCCGATCCCGTCGAGCAGCCACCTGGGGAAGTGATTCTCCACCATCGTCGGCACCGCCTCGTGCCATCCCAGTCGCTGCCAGGAGCCGCCAGGTCGAGGTGGCACGCCCAGCAACCTGACGTCCGCCCCGCCGACCGCGCACCGGGACACCAACGGATCCCACGAGATCCTACGGATGGCGTCCCAGCCTGCGGTCAGTCTCGGGAGGCCGATGTCACACTCGGTCCGCTCGGCCCCGTTGAGCAGGACAGCGTCGCCACGATTGCCACCACCGGTGCTCTCGATGGGCACCCCCAATGGGGCCTGCACGGCGGGCGGCCCAACCACTCCGGCCACGGCCGGCGGCGCTGCGCCAGCGGCGCCCGCTGGGGCGCCGGCGACCGGCCCGGCGGCGGCCGCGAGGGGCCCTGCGGCGGGGGCGGTGGCGGCGCCGGCCCGGGCCGCGCGCACCAGTGGCGCGGACGGCGCTGCTCCGGCGGCGGCTCCACCCGCGGGCCCGTGAGCGGCAGGGCCAGCGCCAGGACCGCCTGGTCCAGGGGCGGCTGAGGTGAAGTCGAACTCCAGGTAGGAGCCGCCAGCGAGGAGCAGGTGTGGCCCGCCATCAACGCGCTCGCGGTCCGAGGGCAGCTCGTCAGCCCCCTGCACGAGAGCGTCCTGGATGGCGACCGCCTCCCACGTGCTCGGCACGCGTCTGAACCCGTATATCTGGTTCGGGTCCACACCCCGCAGCGCCTGGTGCGTCGGGCTGAAGGCCACGGTGACGATGTCTGTGCTCCTCTGACCGTACCGCTCCTCGTACACGACCTGAGCGGTCGCCTGGCAGTGGACCACACCACACGAGAGGGCAGGGCACGACGCCGACGGGCTCGCCGGCGAGGAGGGATACGAAGGCGCCGTAGGACACGTCGGCGCTCGCGATATCCAGGCCGCCAGCAGGCTGGAACTTGCGCCCAAGAGCCACACGAAGGGTCTGCTAACCATCCGCGCCTCTGCCTGGACAGGTGCCCCCAGCTCGCTGGAATAAAGGCTTGAGCACACGTGTCAGCGGCCCTCTCCCGCTTCCCACACGCAACAAAGAATCTATGGCACGCCATTGCAATACATACATACATACATACATACACACATACATTAGTACAAACATATAGACAGACACTGCAACCATACATATATACATACATACATACATGCATGCATGCATGCATACAGACAGACAGACGGACGGACAGACAGACAGACAGACATGCATACATAAAAACACAGACCTACACACATGATCACCACCATACACACATAAGTACATACACACATGCACACACTCATGCATACACTCATTCCATGCATGAATACATGCATGCACATACATACCTACATGCATGCCTGCATGCATGCAGGCAGGCATCCATAACATGGCAGATCCTAACAAGTGACAAATGCCAGATCATAACATAGCACACAACAGCAAACAACAACATAGTACACCATAATTTACCATACCAATACATTCCACTACACTACGCTACACTACGCAATCTTACATCACAAGACATTGCAGTATACTAGATGACATGAACCAACACTACAATTCATAACAATACACACCATTAATATACATAGAATGCCATGGTTTTTGTAGTACGTTACAAGACAAGACACCACATCACATCCATTCAACTATACATACATACCTACCTATACACACAGAGAGACACACGTGCATGCTATGATATTAATATCTACAGAAAGAGGGAGAGAGAGAGAGAGAGAGAGAAAGAGCGAGAGACAGAGAGAGAGAGAGAGACCACAGAACAAGCATGGCCCATAAGGACAGCTCGGGAACCACTGGGGGCACCGGCCCAGATCCGGGGCGCGACATTCTGGTCTGGCTTGGCCTCTCTTAGGGCAGGACCTCTCGCAGCCCCGCCCCGCCTCGCCTGCGGGCGCCTCACGCACGAAACGAAACGATGTCCCGGCGGGGGCACCTGACGTTTCACCCCGGCCTCCGATCCGAATTTCATATACACCGTGCGGAGGCCATGCACGAGGGGCATGCCAGCACAGGGCTCCAAGAACTTTGAATCGCCGGGCCACACGGCACGCGCAAGCGGCGGTGCTAGCCTTCATCTCCGGCGGCGCCGGGGCATCCGCCGCCAACGCGCGCTTCAGGTCGGCGAGGTCCTCGGAATGTCCGCCGCGCGGCGAGGGAGGCAGGGCGAAGGTAAGGGGAGGGGGGCAAGGAAGGGGAAGGGAACAAAGACCAACAGAGGCCCGTCCAAAAAGCCCGCAGGCGCTGGAAACACTGGAGCCCTGGCCGAAGAGGCGGCACAGGGGGAGGCGAAGCCACAGGCAAGGATGAACCAGCAGAGCAACACGAAAACCCCGAAGCCCCCGTCTTGGGGTGAAGGCCGCGTCGCACCAGGTGGGCCTTACGCTTCTGGTCGGCCCGAGGTGCGGGGGGGGGGAGGAAGTCCGCCTTCTTCCCCTCCTCCCCTCCTCCCCCCCCTAAATCTGCCTCGCTGCCTCCCCTTCTGCCTCCCCTCCTCCCCTTCTCTCCTCCCCTCCTCCCCCCCCCCCTCAATATGCCTCCTCCTTCTGCCTCCTCCTGCCTGCCTGTCTTCGCCTTTTCTTCCCCGTGCGGGCCCTCGGCGGGAGGGGGGCGGTCGTCGCCGCGGCCAGGCGTGCGATCCGAGAGCGACTCGGGACTGCGCCCCAAGAGGCGTTCGCAAACACGCTTCGCACGGATTCTGGCGGAAGGGAGCGGGGAGTGGTCCTCCTCCTCCTCCTCCTCCTTCTCCGCCTCCGTTCCTTTCCCTAATAAGAAACTCCTCCCTGCCTCACCCCGAGGCTTGTGGAAAGGGCAGGCTGGGCATTTCGCCTGCGACGTTCGTACCATTTACGACCCTGAAGCTGAAACATGGGCAACAAGTTCACATAACTGAAGGCGGGTCGTTTCCAACATGTGGTTCTCGCAGTAGCGCCGCGCACATTCCCTTTCAAAAGCTGCAACCAGTTCACGGATTGAGGGCAAGTTGTTCTCAACATGTGGCTCTAGCTTATAGCGCAAGAGCTTACAAAGCTTCGCGGATTGAGGGCGGGTGGTTTTCAAAATGTAGCCCTCGCCTTAGCGACGCGCATATCTGCTGCAACAACTTGCAAGAGCTTCACGGGTTTAGGGCGGGTGGCTTTCAACATGTGGATATCGCCTTAGCGCCGCGCGCATTCATGTGTTATATATATACACATATGTATATATATACACACATATAAATAAAACGTTTCACGATACCCCAAGGTAAACATGCCAGGAATAGTGTTTTGGACGGCTTCCGGATTGTCGGTGCGCAACAGTTCCCTTGATTCGCCGTGTTGCGGTCCAAAAAAACGATGTTCTGGCGCGATTGAGCATCGCCACGACGCTGCAGTCAGGTGGAAGCGTGGCGCTGGAGTCCCGAAACCTTGTAGGGGCCGATGAAGAGGGCGCATTGAAAGACGGCAACTTCCAACATCGTTGATGAGGCGTTGGTTAACACAGGTCCTGCTCCTCCTCCTCTTCCTCCTCTTACTCCTCCTTGTTCTTCTCCTCGTGCTCATCCTTCTCCTCGTGTTGCTCCTTCAAATCCTCTTCCTCCTCCACCCCTTCTTTTTCGTCCTCCTGCACCTCCTCCGGTCCCTTTCCACCTCATCCCCTCCTCCTCCACCTTTTCCTCTTCTCTTCCTCCTCTCTTGCTCCTCCCTTGCTTATGTTTCCCTCCGCTCGTCCTTTTCCTCCTCCTCCTCATCATCATCCCCCTCCTCCTCCTCTTCCTCCTCCTCTTCCTCCTCCTCCTTCTTTTCCTCCTCATCCCCCTCATCCTCCTCCTCCTCCTCCTCCTCCTCGCCCTCCTACCCCATCTCCTCCCTGCGAGCGGATCCTGGATTCGCAGGGGGTTCGCGCTATTGGCCCGCCGAGTGGGACAGGGCCAGCGAATTCTGTGCCAGTCCCGAACGCAAGCGAAAAACAAATTGCCGTTGCCTCCACCACCTTCCCCCTTTGAGTCTCCACATCCACCTCGTCCAGCTCGTCAGCTTGCCGCCGCTCCTCTTCTCCTGGGCTTACTTGTAAGTGTTAGACGGCGCAACGAGCTTCGTGAGAACGCATGTCCCAAAGAGAACCCACATGGCCCCCGAACGCACGGGCGAAATCCGCCGACCCTGTCGGCGTGCGTGGGAGGCTCGCCCGTTCGATGCGCAATCGTCGTCGTTCGGTAGTCGTCGCTTCTGCAGGCCCCGTGCCCTGCGGCCCTGGGCCCGTCGGTGCCCCCCCCCCCCCTAAAATCCTGGGCCCTCCATCCCGAGCGCGCCAGCCATGGCGAAACTGACTCACGTCGCAAGTCGATCGAAGGGCACGCCGACGCCCCCCCCACCCTCTGATCCCTCCCCCATCCGGGGGGGGGGCCCAGGGGAGATGCGCCTCCCGGGCGGGAGGGCGGGCCTCCAGCTATCCACCTGGCCCCCGGGCCGCTGCGACTGGGCGATCGGGGGCCGCTGCGCTCCAGGAGGAGGCGGGGGGGAGGGGAGGGAGGAGCCCTGTGCTGCAACAAGTGGGCCGCGACTGCAACAGATGCTGAGATACGGATCAGAGGGGAGACCTGCGGGGCCTGCACCGCTGCGGCGACACGGAAGGCTGCCGCGCTCTGCGCGCGGCAGCATTGGCCGGGTCAGCAACCCCCGGCAGCGCGCAACCGCTCTCAGGAGGCCCGCTCCGAGGCGCGCGATTCGTGCCCCCCCCTTCACGATCCGCGACCCCACGACCCACGGCCCGCGACAGCCCCGACCCCAAGCCCGTCCCGCTCCCACAGAAGCAGGCGGCGGCGGCAGCATCGCAATCGCTGGGGTGGGAGGAAGTGCGCGATGACTATATGCATTGACTTCATTGCACACACTGTCTAAGACATTCGGGCTCACTACTCCACGGGGCACAAGCAAGCTCACGTAAACGATTAGACGGCGTTCACTGCTCTCCGTTGCCTACCCAGCTCTTCCATCGATATCCACTTCGCCCTGCTCCCTCACATCCCTCTGAACTCTACGATGAACTTCTTCTCCTGCTCCTCTCCCGCTCCTGCCGCTGCACCGCGTGTGGGTCCGTGGTCGAGCATCTCACTCTCGGCCGACTCCGTAGGCGAAAGATCCCGACCGTAAGCTCAGGATTAAAGCCAAAATTCAAGATCTAACCGGAAAAGACGGGATTCGACAGAACCAAACGGAACTGCGACGGAGAACGCCGGTTTTTCGACCGCGGATACGCACTCACAATACGCAGATGGTTTGTGTGTGTGTTCTGGTGTGTGTGTGTGTATTATGGTGTGTGTTTTGTATGTTATTTGTGTGAGCAGTGTGTGCTGTGTGTGTTCTGTGTGTGCGTGCCGCGTGTGTGCTAGGCATGTCCGATGTGTGCGTGCTGTGTGTGAGCTGTGTGTGTGCTGTGTGCGCTGTGTGTGCTGCGCGTGTGTGCTGCGCGTGTGTGCTGTGTGTGTGTGTGTGTGTGTGTGTGTGTGTGTGTGTGTGTGTGTGTGTGTGTGTGTGTGTGTGTGTGTGTGTGTGTGTGTGTGTGTGTGTGTGTGTGTGTGTGTGTGTGTGTGTGTGTGTGTGTGTGTGTGTGTGTGTGTGTGTGTGTGTGTGTGTGTGTGTGTGTGTGTGTGTGTGTGTGTGTGTGTGTGTGTGTGTGTGCGTGCGTGCGCGCGTGCGTGCGCGCGTGCGCGCGCGTGCGTGCGTGCGTGCGGTCGTGCGTGCGTGCGTGCGTGTGTGCGTGCGTGCGGCGTGCGTGCGTGCGGGCGGGCGGGCGGGCGTGGCGTGGCGTGGGGCGTGGGGCGTGGGCGTGGGCGTGTGCGTGGGGCGTGGGGCGTGGGCGTGGGGCGTGGGGCGTGGGGCGTGGGGCGTGGGGCGTGGGGCGTGGGGCGTGGGCGTGGGGCGTGGCGTGACGTGGCGGTGCGTGCGTGCGTGCGTGCGCGTGTGTGTGTGTGTGTGTGTGTGTGTGTGTGTGTGCGTGTGTGTGTGTGTGTGTGTGTGTTTTTGCGCCGGCCGCCGCCGCCGCTGGTTCCCTGGCGCCGTCCCCGCCACACCCCTGGGCTGCTCTGAGCGGGCCCGGCTCCTCTTAAGTCTCCCTCTCGGGCCGGCGCCGTGCCGCTCTCCTCCCTCCCTCTGCATGGCGGCTGACTCTTCACCCAGCGCGCTCCGCTTTGCTTCCCTCGCCTGCGCAGCCCCTCTGCCCAGCCGCCGACAGCAAAAGTGTCTCTGCACAGCAGGGAGAGCGGCCCGCGGCCCCAGGCCGATGATCGGGCCCGGCCGGCGGCCGGCGCGGGGCGGGGGCCGCCGTCCACGCTGACGCGCTCCAGCTCCGTCCGCGCGCCGTGCGCCTCCGCGGCCATCGCGTCCAGCGTGGCCCGCAGCTCGCTCTGGCGGGCCTTCCGGCGCGCAGCAGGTGACGGACGGACAGCGCAGACCCATACTTCAGGGGGGCTGCCTCGCGCCTCGCGATTTTGAGGCTGCGCTCGAAGTATGGGGCCAGGGTGGTTGGACGCCGAGGGGGGCCACGTTCGAGCGGGGACCTCCATGCGACAACACGCGCCTATAGCCCTTCCAGAAGTCCATCCCGACAAATTATGGGATCATATCGGGGGTTGGGGGTGAGATCGCAGTGAAGCGGAGAGCCCCCCAGCGGGAATTCGGTTTCGGCTTCGTGTTCGTGTCGTGCGTGCGGGCGAGGCGAAGGAGTGGGCGCGCGAGAGGAGTGACGCCGCCGTCGCTAGGGCGATTCGGATGCAATGGACCGCCCTCCGCCCCCGGTGGGCGCGCGGTGTCCCGAGGTGTCCCGCCGTGGTGTCCTGTGGTGTCCCGATGGTGTCCCGCTGGTGTCCCGTCGGTGTTCCGTCGGCGGTGGGCGGGCGGTGGCAAGGGGTGTCCTGCATTGGTATCGATAGTGAAGTCGACAGTGAGATCGATAATGAGGTCGCTAGAGTGGGATGGATGGTCAGATTAAAAGTGAGATCGACAGTGAGGTTGATTGTGACATGGGTTGTGAAGTCGAATGTGTGATCGATCGTGTAACCGATAGAGGAATCGATACTGAGATCGATAGTGATATCGATAGTGAGACCGAAAGCGAGATCGAAGTGAGATCTATCGTGAGATCTCAAATGAGATCGATTGTGAGATCTATAGTGAGATCGATGGAGTGTCACCGATCCTGTGAGGTCGATAGTGGGATCGATCGAGTGAGATCGCAATAGGGGACGATGATGGCATTACATCGCAGCGCAACAGCGCCATCACGCGTCGTCGCTAACTCAAGGGCGTGTTACCAGCATCGCCATCATCATACCAATCGCATTTGCCAGCAGTTGGTTATTGGTGTAGGTATTGGGGCTAGTTGCCAGATGTTGTCTGCTCATGAATACTAAGGTTGTCTCCAAGCAGTATCCGCATGTCTTGATGCTGTCGCTGATAGCTCGCGCGCGTGCCGCTCGCATCACGGACCGAGTGAAAATAGATCACGGCGCTGATCCGCAATACCAATCGACTGGGGTGTCAAGGCCGATGCTGCACTACGCAGCGCTGCACCGCCTAGGAGGGGCGGTGGTGACGAAGTGGTAGCGAATCCGATTACGTCGTAGCTGGTTTTCCTGGCGACTCCTGGCGCGGGGGGCGCCAATGCATCGAGGTGAGCGCCCCGCGGCATGGCCGAAGGCAACTACATCCAACACTTGTCGCAGCCCCCCGTTTCACAGTCCCTCCTCTCATCCTGTCTGCCCTCCCCCCAGAAGAGGTCTCCGGGAGGTGCTTCCGGAGGTGTCTCGGTGGACCGAACACGCGCAGAAGCACCCCGAGTCTTCGAGCCTCCTCTAGCTGCTGCAATAAAACAAAGACTTCTTCGCTGCCCCTCCCTAATGAAGCCTCTGTCCCATCTCCCCTCGCCCCCTCCAACTACTCCTCCCTCTCTCTAGAGGACGCGCTGAAACCCGGGCCAGCGCTAGTCCAAGTCGGCCAGCGCCTACGTCACGAGTCCAGCTGGCAGGCCACAAACCGAGGAGGAGGAGGAGGAGGAGGAGGAGGAGGAGGAGGAGGAGCAGGAGGCGGAGAAGGAGGGGGAGGAGGAGGGGGAGGAGGAGGAGGCAGAGGAGGAGGCGGAGGAGGAGGCGGAGGAGGAGGAGCAACAGAGCAGCAGAGCGCCGGAAAACGTCCCGGAAGGACGGCCCTATGAGAGCCCGGCGGGGGCGCCAGAGCGCCAGAAGGCTCATTCGTTGTAGTTGCCGGAGTGGAGGAAGCGACGCATGTAGTCCAAGAAGCCTTCTTCACGAGTCTTCCACCATGGTAGGTTCTGAGCCAAGATACAATGTCATCATGCCAAAGGTTCTTTTGCCCGCCATGTCGGCGAAAGGCTGGGCGTAGGTCATGTGTAAATGGGTCCCAATTTGCACTCAGTCGCGTCCATCTGTCGTGATCGTGGTTGGCCACACGTGCTGCGAACGCCCATTTTCGCTTGAAGTATACGTCGGTCCAATCGTCGACTCGTGCTCGTTTGGCGTGTGCCAAAGCGGTGGAGGTACTTCTCCGTATGAACTGAACCCAAGCCTCAGATCCTTCGTCGTTGTCTCCGTCGGTTGCTGTTGTCGGTGCTGGTGTCGGTGTCGGTGTTGGTGCTGGTGCTGTCAGTGCTGGTGCTGTTGTCGGTGCAGGTGCTATTGTCGGTGTTGGCGCTGTTTTCGGCTGGTGCTGGTGCTGGTGCTGGTGCTGTGTTCGGTGTTGGTGCTGGTGCTGTGGTCGGTGCTTGTGCTGGTGCTGGTGTCGTCGTCGTCGTCGCCGTTCGGTGCTGTTGTCGGTCCTGGTTTCGGTGTCGTTGACGTCGACACGTGTGCCGTTGTTGGTGTTGCAGCTGGCGCGTGCTGTCTGTCTGCTTGCTTCCAGCGTGCTCCGTCTTCTCGGCGTATTGATGATCAGTCGGAGCATTTTCCGTTGTGTTCGTTGTAGCGTGATGAGCATATCCTTGGTGAGTGTCCACGAAGAGCAACCGTACATAACGCATGGTGTGATCGTGCCGCTGAAGAGTCGGAGTCTGCTGTGCAATGGGAGCTTTCTGTTGGTAAGTTCGTTTGAAACTTCGACCATCCCGCGGCGATCCTGTTTTTCAGCTCATGTCCGTGGAAGTCGTGGAACGATACCTTTTTGCCCAAATATTTCGTACTCTGGCCGGTGGGTAGAATGTCTTAGTTGGTGCGGAGGAGGAGGAGGAGGAGGAGGAGGAGGCGAAGGAGGAGGATGAGGAAGAGGATGGGGAGGAGGTCGGCAGAGTGAAGGGAAGTTGGGGTCAGCTCCACGTGGTTCCAAAACCCTCGGGTCAACCAGCTCGGACACGCGCCAGCACGGCTCGGGGCAGGCAGCCCCCGAAACACGAACCCGGTGCCGCATGACTTTTCGACGGAGCGCCGGCTCTGCACGGCAGCGGGACCCGCCGAGAATCCACACGCCGGAGGCCATACGTCTGCGTCCTCCAACTTCGCGCATCGCGCCCCGGGATGCGCGGCAATCTTCGCGCCTTCGCGCCGCCGCCCTGGATCAGCAGCTGGGCGAAGGCTGGCAAACCCATGGCTGCTAAAACGGAGCTCCGGGAAATTGTTTTCCTCTTCCGGGAAGCAGCCCGCTTTTTATATGCAGCATTCTTCCGGGAATGTTTTTTTGTTCTTCCGGGAAGGCCGTTTTACGCGAGGCGGGGATGTGAACCGACGTCCTGGTGCCCCAGCGGGCGGTGGATATGGATATACTTCGGCCCCTGAGGGCCCGAATATGTCCATATCCACCGCCTGCCGAGTCTCCGAAAACTGACCCTCCAGGCGGTGGATGTGGATAGAATCCCGCCTCGGAGTTTTAGCAGCCACGAATGTGCCAGCCTTCGCCCAACACGCCTTCTCCGACCCAGGCCGCGATGCGCGAAGCGCGGCTCTCTTCGCGCCCCCTCGGGCGACCCGGGGTGTGCTCTTCCTCGACGCACGGCGCTGCCGCACGGCGCTGACAGGCGCCCCCCGCGCCAGAGGCCTCCTACCTGGGGTCCGAGTACTGGAGGCCATGTAAATGGGCACCAACACCAACACAAGGGGTTCGCCTCCACAGGGGGAAGATGATTCTAGATTCCGGCGTTGGTGGCGATATGTCGGCCACCTTGGAAGCCAGAGTAAATCTTATCCACTCGGTCGAGGCACACCGCCGATATCGGTGTTGGTGTCAACTTCTAGGCTTGCGAGAGTAGATGGGGCTGGAAGGTCGCGCCGCATCGCCGATGCATCGGCGACTTTGCCGATAGATCGGCACCGTCGGCGTGGGGGAAGTCGAGATCCGCATCGAACCGCACCGGCGATGCGGCGTGATCCTCCGAACCCATAGACTCGGACTCCATCTGGGACGCCTAGAATGAAAGAACCCAAAGGCACCGATACCAATACTTCTCGGACCTGTCCGGGTCTCTGGGGGCGCATGCTGCCCAGGATCTCGAGGCGAATCCAGCCGAGGCGACGAGGGCCTCTGAGGAGGACCGAAAAGGCGAAAAGAGGCAAGGGTAGCGGCATTTTGCGGTGGCATGTCATTTAGCTGGCCCGTGCGAGTCGAAGCGAAACACGAATCGACACTGAATCGATGCTAGTTAATCGACGCGAATCGACGGTCGTCGACGCTATCTCAGTCCCCAAACAATACTCGCACTTAGGGGTTCTTGATTTGTTGTAAGGACCTGGGGGGTTGTAGGCCAGGCGCGATTGTTGTCGCTGGTCGCCGCCCGCCGCGGCCGTCCGTCGCCGCTACTCATGGGCCTGGTTATCGGTCTCCGCGTGTATTGTCGCCTGTCGCCGCCCGTCGCGTAGTCCACTGCCGCTGTTATTGGGCGGGGTTGTCTGTCGCCGTGCTTGTTGTCGCCCGTCGCATCCGTCCGTCGCCGCCGTCCGTCGCCGCTGCGACTGGGCTTGGTTTCCAGTCGCCGCGTACGTTGTCGCACGTCGCCGCCTGTCGCCGCCTGTCGCCGCTGACTCTGGGGACTGGGGCGTGGTTGTCAGTCGGCGTGTGTGCTGACGCCCGTCGCCGCACCACATATATCACTACACATCGGTTCTCTGTTCTCCAAAAACTATGACGATTATTCGTCCGTAAATGATTTTGCGCACGTGTCCATCCGAAAAACGAACTCGTACCATCCCAAACAAATGCTTATCGACCCCCCTTTTTTCCATTGCAAACGACTGTGTGCACGCACATTTGCGTAAGCATGTGTTGCAACAAAAGTTTCAACAACAATTGCGCCTGGGCTCTTGCGAACTCGCACGAGAAACCACAACCGGATCAGAACTTGCTACCAAACGGGCCTCTCGCGCGCGCATGTCGGTATCGCTCGAACGCCCTTGCGCGCGTGCTGTCGCAAAAACCCCTGGCAACATATGCAACGACATGCACACGCGCCCGTCGTCGCGCGCACATGCAGACATCCGTCAAAAACTCACGCGTCGCGGGGATTTAGAAATCGAGTGCACCGAAACATATGACAAACAAGTGGTTTTGCAACCTCAATTGTCAAAAATGCCAGCGCAGCGCTCGCGTTCATGCGCATTCTTAAGAAAATCCGCCAAATCATGCCGACGTCAAAATCATCTGAACGCCCTGGCGCAAATGTTTTGGAGGGGGCCGGGCACGATCCGTGTCAACTAATACCATGCGTGCCAATCTCGCGCGTCGGACGCGCGAACATGTCGAATTCACTCCAACACCTTCATCACGGACGCGAGGACGCCGCCATCGTCGTCGGCGTGATCAACATCGGCGCCGTCTCTGGCATTGCCGTCGTCGTTGTCACTATCGTCACCCGCATCGCTACCATCATCATCGCGTCGGCGACGTTGCCATGATACCGCGCCCGCCAAAATCGCTGGGTCGCACTAACGTGCCCCGCGCGACACGCCCAGCAGTCAGCGCCACCGCGGCCGCGTCGGTCGCGCGAAACTAGCCGGCCGTTGCGTGCGCGAGCTTGCGCGGGCCAGCGCGGCCGCAGAGAGGCACCAGCCAACTCCAAGCAATTATCGTAATCACCGCCGCATGAAATTTGCAAACGAAAGTGCAGGTGGGTGGGCGGGATGATTGCGCGAGCCGTGGAGTGGACAATTCACGGCGGACAGGAAATACTTGCACCAAATAAGTGACACCGCATAATTTGCACAACATAGGCCGCACCACATACATTGCGCCACATAGCTTACACTTCGCAGATTACACCACGTAGTTTGCACCACACAAGTTGCTAGAAACACACTGTTTAGGGGTCAGCGCCGGCTAACGCCGGCTACCAGGAGCCAGTCGATGCCGATGCACGCTAAAGACGGAGGTACGTGGGTATACGAGGCTCTCATGATTTGTCACCGAAGGCAAAGGCAGCGGCATCGGGGCCAAGCTGCCTCGAGGACTGGGGGCCCTTCGACACCGCGCATCCTCAGCACATTCTCAACCGTCGTGGCCCTGGGATGCTCCACGCAGAGATGCAGCCACATGCCGTCCAGACCCAATGCTTCCTTGCACCCAGCGTCGACAACGACTCCGTGGTGCATGGTCTGGCCTGGCAGTCCGCGGGCATCAGGACCGCAGCGCCCTCTGGGAAGCCTGGCAAGCCCCGCACCCTCCCCCGCGGCGCACCTGCCGGGCGCCCTCCGCCTCGAGCGCCGCGCGCTCGGCGTGCGACAGGCGCAGCGCCCACGCATCGCACCGGCAGCGGGCGCGGAGCCCCTCGTCCTGGGCGCGCCAGCGCTGCGACAAGACGATGGCGACGGCGACGGCGACGGCGACGAGGAGAAGAGGACGACGACGCCGAAGACGACGACGAAGACGACGACGACGGCTACGACGCCGACGACGACGACGACTCGGACGTCGACGACTACGACGACGACGACGACGACGACGCTGACGAGGACGAAGCGGACGACGACGACGAAGAGGACGACGACGACGCTGACGACAAAGACGACATAGAGGAACGAAGACGACAAAGACGACAACGAGGACGAAGAGAACGAAGACGACGGCGACGCTGACGACAACGACGACGAGAACAGCGACGACGATGACGACGACGACGAGGACGGCGACAACATGGACGACGGCGACGTGGACGGTGGCAACGTGGACGACGGCGATGTGGACGGTGACGACGTGGACGACGACGACGACGTGGACGACGATGACGCTGACAACAACGAGGATGAAGAGGAGGACAACGTCGATGACGACGACGACGGCGACGACGACAAAGACGATGAGAACGACGAGGATGTCGACGACGACGACGACGCTGACGACGACGAGGACGAAGAGGACGACGACGACGAAGAGGACGACGACGACGACGCTGACGACGACGACGAGGACGAAGAGGAACGACGACGACGCTGACGACGGCGAGGACACACAGAACGAAGACGACGACGACGCTGACGACAATGACGAAGAGGACAGCGACGACGACGATGACGACGACGACGACGACGTGGGTGACGACGACATGAACAATAACAACGTGTACGACGACGACGACGACGACGACGACATCAACCACGACGACGCTGACGACAACGAAAACGAAGAGGAGGAAGACGACGACGACTACGACGCTATCGACGACGACGATGACGATGAAGACGACGGCGAGGACGACGACGACGACAAGGACAGCGACGATGACGTGGACGACGACGACGACGATGACGTGGAAGCAGACGACGACGGCGACGACGATGACGATGACGACGACGACGACGACGACGACGACGCTGGCGCTGGCGCTGACGCTGGCGCTGACGACGACGACGACGAAGAGGGCGACGACGGCGACCACGCTGACGAGGACGGCGAGGACGAGGACGAAAACGAGGACGATAACGAGGACGACGACGTCGATGCGAGGTGACCCTGTTCCACCACCTGGGGAACCAACGTCTTGGGACCCACGGGGCCCGAATTTCTTTCATATCCACCGCGTGCCTGGGTCTCCAAAAATCGATCCGATACACCCGCGCCTCGGAGTCGACGTCGACGACGACGTCCGAGAACACGTCGTTAATTTCTAATCGCGCTCAATTCTAATTGTGCTCGTTTCTAATTGTTCCTGGCCCCTTATAATGGCCAAGAAGAGGCCCAGAATAGAACAATTAGAAACGGAAGGATCTTGCCCCCAAACAAATCAAAGAACTTTCGAAGAATTAGAAATGAACAATGAGTAGGCTTCTGCTCGCAAGCGGCATTGTCTCTGCCCCGAGCAAGCGGCTGCATCGTGAAGGCGTCACCCAGATGTGATAGCATCTGGGCGACGAAACGACAGGGGTCTCGCCAACGATGACACAGCGAACTTACGCCGCGATTTACGCGGGCCGCGGGCGCGGCACGCAACCTTGGAGACGAAGGCGTTCACGCGCGGCCTTACGCGGGCAGCTTGCGCGCTGATGTCGGCGCAGACGATCACTTTGCTCTGCATCGCTCATGTGACGACTATGCGGATCGGACCCCGAGGAAACTCAGCCGCGGCGTCATCTTCAGCGCGGAGGGCCCCGATCGCCCGCCCATCCTCCACGCCTGTGTGCCCTCTGCCTGCGGGGAGCCGCGCGGTGCCGTCGCCTCCAGCAGAAATCCCCTCTCGTGAGACCGACATGAGTTGACAAGCTGTTGTGCTAATTAGTAAGGAACAAAAGTGAACATGTCAATGTCAAAGCAGTCTTGACGTGGAGGCACGAGCAGGCCACCTGGCAGGAGCCGCAGCCGAGACATGAGAAAAAATGCGGCAGGCGCCTGCCAGGTGGTAAATCTCGGCAGGTGGTAGATTTCGGCTATCCAGACCTTAGTGCTCCCCCCGGTACCTATACATGAAGCCGTCAGTTCTCTAAGTAGGATCGCCGAGCAAGTGCAATGTAAAAGGCGGGCTGCAAAGTATCCTCCTCCTCCTCATCCTCCTTCTCCCCCTCCACCAGCTCCAACTCCAACTCCAACTCCAACTCCAACTCCAACTCCAACTCCTCCTCCTCCAACTCCAACTCCTTCTCCTCCTCCTCCTCATCCTCTTTAATTCGTGGTGTTAAACTGTTCTTGAGTTGACGAGGCAAATGTCCTGGCACGATTCAAAACCGTCAAGACGCAACAGTCATATAGATTCGTGGCGTTGAAGTTCCGAGAATGGTGCTCTGGCACGCTTCAAGATCTTCAAACGGTTGTCTCCCAAAGGGGCACTTCCCTAAGTGGAAATGAACCCTTGTAGGGGCCTATGGAAAGGGAGCTTGGAGGGAGGGTTTAGTCCATCATCGTTGATGAGTCTTGGGTTTAACTACACTGGTCCTCCTCCTCCTCCTCGTCCTCCTCCTCCTCCTCCTCCCATCCAGGATCGCCAAGACGCAATACTGACGTTGATTCGCGGCGCTGGTGTCCCAGGAATGGTGTTTTGGCCCGGCTGATGATTCTCAGACGGTTGTCCTCCAATGGCGCACTTCCCGCAGTGAAAACAAATCCTTGTAGAGACCTGTGCATAGGCAACTTGGAGGGAGGATTTACTGCAATATCGTTGACGCGCCTTGGGTATCCACTGGCCCTCCGCTTCCTCCTCCTCATCTTCCAGTTCTTCTCCTGACAAGTAGTTAACTCCTCCCTGTCGCAACCCCAGACGTGTCGGCAGGGCGGGCCGGGCGTTTCGCTTCAGACTCCCTCACCATGTATAACCTGAAGCTTGAAACTTGCAAGCGCTTCACGGATGGAGGGAGGGTCGTGTTCAAATGTATCTCTCGCCGTAGTGCCGCGCACACCCGTCTTTAAATCAGACGCAGCAGCGTGGAATGGGGACTCATCGCTGCAATGTCCCGGCGGAAAACCGTGGGAAACGCGTCCTCCTCCTCCTCCTCCTCTTCATCCTCATCCTCCTCGTCGACCTCCACATCGGCCTCCTTCGCATCCTCCAGGCCCTCCATCTCCCTAACATGCCATTGGATTCCCTCCTCCACCGGCACCTGACCCTGGAACCCCCTGAAACACGACCATCCCTGCCTCCCCCTCCTAATCGTCGTCGTCCCCCTCCTCCCCCGCCTCCTGCTCCTCCTTCCTCTTGTGTTTCTCCTGCCCGTCCTGCCCGTCCTCCTCTTCCCGTTCCCTCTCGTCCTCGTCCTCCCCTTCCTCTCCCTCCTCCGCCTCCCCTTCCTCGTGCACATGCACCTCATGCTCCTCGGGCGGTTGCGCCCGCAGGCGAGATGAATTGTGTCGCCTGGTTGCAATTGAAATGTGTCGCCTGGTTGCGGTTGCGCCCGTGGGCGGGTTGAAATGTGTCGCTTGTTTACGGTTGTGGCTGCGGTGGCGCTCGCGGGCGGATTGAGATGTGTCGCCTGGTTGCAGTTGCGGTTGCAATTGCGCCCGCGGGCGGGTTGAAATGTGTCGCCTGGCTGCGGTTGCGGCTGCGGCTGCGGTTGCGCCAGCGGGCGGGTTGAAATGTGTCGCTTGGTTGCGGTTTCGGTTGCGATTGCAGTTGCGCCCGCGGGCGGTTTGAAACGTGTCGCCAGGTTTCGGTTGTGGTTGCGCCCAAGGAAGGGAAATGTGTCGCCTGGTTTCGGTTGCGATTGCAGTTGCGCCCGCGGGCGGGTTGAAATGTGTTGCTTGGTTACGGTTGCGGTTGCGCCCGCGGGCCGTTTGAAATGTGTCGCCAGGTTTCGGGTGTGGTTGCGCCCAAGGGAGTGAAATGTGTCGCCTGGTTTCGGTTGCGATTGTAGTTGCGCCCGCGGGCGGGTTGAAATGTGTCGCTTGGTTACGGATGCGGTTGCGCCCGCGGGCGGGTTGAAATGTGTCGATGTGCTTCGGTTGCGGTTGCGCTCGCGGGCGGGTTGAACTGTGTCGCTTGGTTGCGGTTGCGGTTGCGCCTGGGCGGGTTGAAATGTGTTGTCAAAGGTATCCTCCAGTCTCATCAATTCTGCGAAGTTCAGTTCAATTCAATCGGACAGTCAACGGAGGGCATGGAATTTCACCCGGCTCCGCCGAGAAAAATGCAATACCACCAGAGAAAAAACCTGAATCAATATGTGGCGAATCCTGGCACCAAAAATCGGGAACCCGGGAACCCAGCAGCCCACCAAAAGCAATCCGAAACCCAAAAACGGGAAACTGGAGGCCAAAACCGGGAACCCAGCCGCCCACCGAGACCAATCCAGAACCCGGAAACGGGAACCCAGAACCCAGAACCAGGAACCCGGAAACCCCGCCGCCGACAGAAATCGACAGAAACTTTCCGCCAAGACAAATCCAGAACCCCGAAGCCCGAACCGGGAACCCGTAACCCAGAACTGGGAACTTGGGAACCTGGCCGCCTATCGAAATCGGCGGCGAACTATCTCCGAATCTGTCAATATCCGCTAGGCCCCTACAATGCAAGCTCTGGTTGGGAAATTGCTTTATAGGTGGAGGGCGGGCTGGTTTCAAAATATTGTTCTCGCCTGAGCGCCGCGCGCATTCGTCTCAAAAGTTCGCAATAGTTTCGATCACGGAGGGTGGCTCCATTTCAAGATGTGGCGTCCTGGCACGATTTCACATGGTCACGACGCAGCATTCATGGTGACTCGCGGCGCTGACGTCCCAGGAATGCTGCTTTGGCACAACCGAGGATTCTCGGACAGTTGTGGCTTCATCGGCCGCCTCACTTCACGCAATGAAGACAGAGTCTTGTAGGGGCCTATGAAGTGGAGACTTGGTGGCAGGCGTCATTGCAGAAAACGTTGAGGCGTCTTGGGTTTGCATTGGTCCTCCTACTCCCTACTCCTCCTCCTCCTCCTCTTCCTCCTCCTCCTCCTCCTCCTCCTCCTCCTCCTCCTCCTCCTCTCCCTCCTCCCTCCCGAAGGCCCGAGCCGCTGCCAACGGGGATCATGCGCGCCGGCCCCGTGGGCTGGGCGTCCGACCGCGGGCACGGCCGCGAAGCCGCTGGAGGAGGCGCCTCCCCTCCGCCTGCCGCGGTCGTGGGCTGCTTTTCCTCGGAGCGCCGCGGGGTTCCCGACTCCTTCGGCCCCGGCCCAGCAAGTCGCGGGCTGCTTCGACGACTACCTCTGCCAGTCTTGCACCACCACGTCTGGGCTGCTCCAAGGGTGCAGGGCATTCACATCTCGTCGCTTGTGCCTTGGCCCCGTTTTCGATGTCCATGGCGCAGGGAGCTACGGCAAGTTAATTCCTCATGTTCCTTGCTGCCCCGATAGGCAACACGAGACCCGCAGCGTGCTGACACGGAGCTCAACACGTAGACTGAAAGCGTCGGTCTGCCGCGTTACGTTCGCCAAAGCGTAAGCCAAAACGTGCCGAGCCAACACGCAACGTTTTGAGTACGGTACGTGCTGCGTTGTAACATGCGCGTATCAGGACAGCTAAGCTTCGCAGACCAGAACGTTGCGCCAATTCTTGTCTTGTGCTGGTGCCCCCCCCCGCGCTCTTGAAGGGTCGCCCCCGCTCTGCTCCTGCTCTTCCGCTTCCGTGAATGCTCGGCAACTCAGGCATCACTGCCTGTCCCGGGCGACTTGCATAACGTATGTCTTAGGTCGGTTCGGCCTCTGACATCGAGCTGTCCCTTCGATACAGCCGGACCTAGGGAAGAAAAATATCACCCAAGAACATGAGACCGTCCGCCCTCCAAACTGAAGAGCGTTGACGGATATCCCCCCCCGCGGGATGTACAATGAGATGCAACAAACACGAAAAAACACCGGGGTACCTTCCCCGAACCGACCTCGATCTTGTACTTCGGTCCGACCGTAGTTCCTTTCCTGGTGTTATAAACAGTGTGCTCGACTCTGGCTTCCCCCCGGTCGCTTCTGCTCTTTGAGCAGGGACCGACCGTCCCGGTATTCCTATAGGCCGAACCCAAAATGTACTAAGAACAAACACAATGTTCTTATAACAAAAACCCGATGTGTTAAAACAAGACAGTCCTAGCCAGAAATGTTCCAAGAACATGTCGTGCAAGCCTCAAGGTTCTTAGAACATTCTTCGGTGGGCCTATAGGCGAGCCAGGACGCTTCGCCATTGCTTGAGTCACCCCCCCTTCGCGAAGTTTGGGTTGGCGCAGCCCGGTCGGGCCTTCGAGCCTCTCTCGCATCTCTGACGGTCGATGTCGATTGCTGGGCTGAATCTAAACAATGTGTTTTGTTTTCGATTTGTTTTCGTTTTCCCTCGTTTTGTCTTCAATCCGCCTTTACTGCAAAACGAAATCGAACCGAAAACGGCCCACGAAATCGCCAAAACACCGTTTACGTCCAGCCCTGTGCGACTCTCAGGCCCTGTTTGCGCGCTGTTTGCACGTATCAGGCCCTGTGCAGGCGATTGTGACCAGATATAACTGATGCGTATTGCAATCCCCAGCCTATTCTTACAGCACTCTGCTGGTATCTTTTCCAGAGCACCTGCCTATGCTTAGGTCGGGCCTGTCCCCCTACAGCTTGGGGGATATTGTGCGGAAAATGTCAAACAAAAACTCAAAATTGCCTACAAATGCTCAAACAATCGTCCCCGGACTATATTGTTTGACTAGTTTTGAATCTTCTTCCTGTAGAGGAACAGGCCCGACTTAAGCCTATGTCATCGTTGCGCGGGCGCCTCCCTCCTCGAGGTGGAACGTCAGGGGGGCACTCGCTCAGGGGGGGGGGACATCCAGCTTGAATCATGGATACATCGCTGATAGCAGGGCGACAGGCTCCCGATAGCGAGCGCCGCACGCTCCTCGGCGGGCTGGGCTATCGGGTCCCTGTGCGCGATGACATTGCGATTGGGGGCCGACGCATCCCCCTCCTGAGCCTCCCCGCCCAACTGAGAGGCCAACGAACCTACTCAGTTTACGACCACACTCGCTTCCAAGCTGGAGCCGAGCGATACCAGGCTACGCGTGGGGGCGGCCCGCGCTGCTCGACGACCAGGCGAGTGGCATGACTTACGCCCCTGGTGGTGCGACTTACGCCCCCCAAACAAAAACCGGGGTAGGTAATTCATCCTCTGATTAACGTTAGGTCGGGCGTGTCCCCCTACAGGTGGAATCTGAACGAACATTTAAACATAGTCGAAGAATACTCCCAACATCTGAATAATAAAAAAAAGCAAAAATAAAAAGATCAATCCCTGACAATTTTTTGACTATTTTTGAATACCTGTTGAGGGACAGGCCCGACTTAAGAGAGAGCGCGTTTCACGGGCGCTTACATTGGGAACATTCGGCGGCGCGTTTCGAGCTGGGGGGTGAGCCCACCCCCCCAACACTCGGCGCCGTCGATTAAAACCAGGGTGACCCCCCTCCCCCCTGACACCCCCACTCCCGAACCCCCCCCCCCTTCAGCGCTGGCGCCGGCGCCGGCGCCGCAGGCCACCAGCAGCGCCGACGGCAGGCCACAGCGACGATGCCCAGAGGCAACCCAAGGAACCCCTCCTACCCCCGGGCCGGCGCCGGCGCTGGCGGCGGCCAGCAGCGCCGACGGCGGGGACGCAGGGACGATACCACCACTACCACCACCACCACCACTACCACCACCAAACCACCTGAACCCACCACCACCACCACAACAGCCACAACCACCACCACCACCACCACAACCGCCACCACCACAACACACCACCACCACCACCACAACAAAAACCCACCACCACCACCACCACAGTCCACCATCACTACCGCCACAACCACCACTACTACCAGCAGCACAACCCACCACCACCACAAACCACCACACCACCACCACCGCCACCACCACCACCTCCATCACCACCTCCACAAACCACCGCCACCACCACAACCCACCACCACCACCACCAAACCACCACCACACCACCACCCACCCACCACCACCCTAACAACCCAAAACCACCACCACCACCGCTACCACCACCACCACAATCCACCACCACCACAAACAACCACCACCACCACCAACCACCACCACAAGCACCACCACTGCGACAAACCACCACCACCACCACCACCACAATCACCACCACCGCCACCACCACCACCACAACCCACCACCACCACCACCACAACCACTACCACCACCACAACCACCACAACCACCACACCACCATCACCGCCACCGCCACCACCACTTCCAACCACAACCGCCACAACTACCACCACCACCAGAAACCACCGCACCACCACCACTGCCACCATCACCACCACCACCACCAGAACCTGCCACCACAACCACCACAACAACAACCACCACCACCAACCACACCATCACCACCACCACCACCACAACCACACCATCACCACCACCACCACCACAACCACAGCCCACCACCACCACCACCACCACCACCACCACCACCACCCCAGAGAGGCCCCAAGAGACGCCCAAGAGGTGACCAGGAGGCTGCACCACAAATGCTCTTTAAAGGCCCCCGAAAGCCCTCCGACGAGACCCCAAGACGCATCCAGTAGGAGTCTGACCCAAAACCAAGGCACGGTGGCGGAGCGTCGTCGTCGTCATCTTCGTCGCCGTCGGCCTCATCAACGCTCCCCGCCGCCGCCGCCGCCCGCCGCCGCAGGAGCCGGCACCGGCCCAGAAAAGGAAGTCGTCGTCCCCGCCACCGCCAGCCGCCGCCGACGCAGGCGCCGGCCCGAGGAGAGGGAGAGAGGAGAAGTAGGGGAGGAGGGGGAGGGAAGGGGGGGTGTTCGAACCCCCCCTGCGTCGCGGGAGGGGGGGGGCCCGGTTCCAACCGCCACCCCCCCTCCAAGCGACCACAGAACCTGGCCATCGCTCGGACGTCCACTCCCTGTGCTTTTTTCGGTTTCGTGCGTAGTTTTTCGCAGGATGATCCAGGATGCTCCCTAACAATCCCCGCCGAGAAGAAGTGCACACGTCCGAGCGATACCAAGCCGAAGGGAGGGAGGCGGGACGCGCGCGCGGGCGGCGCGGGCCTCCAACCTCTCCGCCTGCTCCCCGAGCTGCCGCGACTGGGCCTCTGCGGGGGGGGGAGGGGGGCAGAGCCCCTCGGGCCATGGAAAAAGCACGACGCGGGGGGTGTCTTTCGCCATGTTCGGCCCCGGGGTGCCGCTGCTGGCCCTATAGGGAGCGTCCAAGAACGGCTCGGTATGAGAAACCTGTCCCGGGGAGTGGGTCCAGACCTCCGGGGGTCGACGTTATGAAGGAAACATGGCGTCGGGGGTCTGGGGGGGCGGGTTGCTCCGGCGGCGCTAGCCTGTACCGGAAACGACTCAGACCGTATCCTAATCAGTCTGGGCGGGGGCAGATCGAGGCTATGTCTTGTGAGAACCCACCCCAAATCTCTTCCAACAGGCCCTCCGCAAACGCATCAGCTTCGGTCCTCCTCCTTGTCGTCTTCCTCCTCCCCTCCTGGTCGTCTCGGTGCTGCTCCGCCTCTCGTGTGCCCGCTTCTCCCCCTCCTGCTGCCGTCCCTCGTTGTGCATCCTGGGCTGCCTCGCCCTGCCTGGCCGGTAGCTGCTGCCGCTCCTGTGCCCCCCTCTCCGGCCTCCGTCGCGGGAAAAAGCGAGGTGAGATTCGTTTGAATTCGTACTGCCCCTGGGTGCCCTCAACGAAGGAACGTCCGAAGGAATGCCAACTGCGCACTCCTCGGATCTGCCCGCGCGTCCTGCCAGAAACCCCACTCAGTGACGGCAGCGGTGCCCGAGCGCCGCACCAAGGGCCGGCGCTTGGCTTCTGCCTTGTCTGGGGGCACTTACTGGGCCTCGGGGCTGCCAACAACACTGCTCGGGGTGACGCACCAGTCCGGAGGAATGGGCCAGAGCTCCGGGGGTCCACGCTGCGAAAAACATGCCCCCTGCATGCCTCCACGGACACATAGCCATTGGTTTAGGCCCTCAGCCCTCTCCATGCCTCATCCTCCTCCATCTCCTCAACCCCTTTTCCTTATCAATAACTCCTCTCTGTCGCACATCGAGACGTGTTGGTAGGGCGGGCCGGGCGTTTTGCGTGCGACTGCTCACCATTGATTATTGATCCTTAAGCCTACAAGTTGAAACACTTGCACGGATAGAGGGCAAGCGGATTTCAACATGTGGCTCTCGCCGTAGCGCCGCGCACAATCGTCTTAAAAACTTCCAGCAGATTCACGTATGTATGGTGGGCGGTTTTCAACATTTAAATCTCGCCGTCGCCCCGCGCAATTCGTCTTAAAACTTTGCAGCCATTTCACGGATGGAGGGCGGCTCCTTTTTCAAACGTGTAACGTGGGTCTCGCCTTGGCGTCGCGCACATTGGCTTTAGGAACTTTCAACAGTTTGCAATACTTACTCTTATGGTTGACGTCCAAAAAACGGGTTTCTGGCACAATGTAGGATTGTCAGGGCGCAGCGGCTACGTTTAATCGCGGTGTTGAAGTCCCAGGAATGGTGTGTTGGTACGGTTCAGGATCGTCAGGACGCAACCGTGCCGTTGATTCGCGGCGTTGAAGTCCCAATAATGGTGTTCTGGCACAGTTCAGGATGTCCATCCGGTTGTCTTCCAACGGGGCAGTTCCCTCAGAGAAAATGAATCCTCATAGGAACCTGTGAAAAGGGAACTTGAAGGGAAGGCTAATCGCTACATCGTTGATGAGTCTCGGGCTTGTACTGGTCCTCATCCTCCTCCTTCCTCCCTGCTGCTGCTCCACACATACATCCACATTCCTCCTCCCTCCCTCCTCCTCCTCCTTCCTCCTCCTCCTCCTCCTCCTCCTCCTCCTCCTCCTCCTCCTCCTCCTCCTCCCAATCTCTGCCCTTCCTCCTCATCCTCCTCGGCCAGCTCCTGCTCCGGCACCCGCTACCGCCTGCAGACGTGGCGTGCATGGCGGCTCTTCTGGGAGCGCCCCACCACTGGAGCCCGCCCTCCTGGCACCCCCCGCGTGGGCCGGCCCTGACCGCCGAGGCCGGCCCAGGCGCAAGAGCCCTTTCTGGAGCAAGCTGGGCGCACGAGCCGCAGGCTCGTGACCCGTGGGTGCTCCACACATACATCCACATTCCTCCTCACTCCCTCCCCCTCCTTCCTCCTTCCTCCTCCTCCTCTTCTTCCTCCACCTCCTCCTCCTCCTCTTCCTCCGCTTCCTGCTCTTCCTCCTCCTCCTCCTCCTCCGCCTCCTCTTCCTCCGCTTCCTGCCCCTTATAGGGGCTGGTTGTGTATGAGGCTCGCCCACCCGCGCAGGCGCTGCACTTTCACTGCAGGCGGCCCGAGCTGTGTAGGCGCTGCACTTTCTGCGCGACCAAGCGGCGGAAGGCTATGGACGCCGCAGGCCAAGGGTCCTGCGAACTCTCGGAAGGCAACCTGCGGGCCCAGACATCCGATGTCTTGATCCCCCACATGCTTAGCGGGGTTCTCGTTTTCCCCCCACACTCGCGCCCCACCCGCGTCTTCTCCCGTCACTTCCCCCTTCTCCATCTCCTCCTCACCTGCACTCGAGTGCGCATCAGACACTGGCAAGCATCACAAGACACATACCACATACTCATGGGGCATCAGACATGCGGCGCCATGAGACATGCGCATACATACACTTATATGTATATAGCAACGAGCGCACACATCATAAAGCGCAGGTGTACCCCTGGTGTAGTTGCATCATGCACACTTGACGCATGCAACTCATGCACGGCATCGACATGAGGCACACATCCACATGCAATCGCCAACATGTCGTAAACATACACAAGACACACGGACGCAGACCGAATCAACCATATGACACAAACAGCCGCACACACACATCATACACGTACACAAGACACGCACACCACAAGACACACTTTCGCGCAGAATTCGCAGTGCGTGGCATGCGCGGCGATCTCTTCACACCAAAAGAAGTGCGCTGGGGTGGTCCCTGAGTGCGGTGTCGATGCGTGCTAGAATCGGAAAGCGTGGTCGGCGTGGCACATTCATTCTCGACACCACAAAGGGTGCGCAGGGGGTGGTCCCACACAGCGGCCTCCTATCCGTCTCAGGATCGCGGGGCGTGGCAGGCGTGGCACTTTCTCCACACCACAGGGAATGCGCATGGCGTGGTCCCTCACCCGGGTCTCTATCCGTCTTAGTGTCGCGATGCGTTGCAGACGTGGCATTTGCTCCGCACCACAGGGGGTTCGCAGGGGGTGGTCCCCGAGCGCGGTCTCGATCCTTGCCAATGTCACGGGGCGAGGCAAGCGTGGCACCTTCTCGGCCCCGCAAGGGGTGCGCATGGGGTGGTCTCCCACCGCGGTCTCTATCCGGCCTTCCCACCGCGGTCTCTATCCGGCCTTTGGTCGCGGGGCGTGGCAGGCGTGGCATTTTCTCCGCACCGCAAGGGGTGCGATGGGGGCCAGGTCTTGATGCAAGCTCTCGAGCTCGTGTGCCCCATTCCATCAGTTGCTGTGGCGGGGGCTTCCGTAACATCGAGATTCGCAAACACGTTAGCTCAAGCCGGCTCGGAGCGCCATGGTTTTCACGCAGGCGCGCCGGGACCTAGAATAGAAGATATGTGAGGTTCCTCGGCAGCGTAGTTTTCCAATACGGGGTCCCAGGTTTTCGTTCCGAGTCGTTTCTTGACGGTCCTAGGGCCCAGCGAGGGTTACCGGAAGACGGAACTTACCAAAAACCGCTGGCTGGGGAGGCTGTGGGACGGATGCCGCCCGACTTTTGGTCGAGACCCATGGTGCCGCCCGACGGTATAGCTCGGCGAGGCCGTGAGTGGGCGTACTGCTCCACCGTTCAAGTCTCAATCACGGAGAGTGCGACGGCGGCGGCGCCGACGACGACGCCGACGCCGCCAGCGAGGGCCGCCGAGGGCTCCCAAGCGGCCGCCGAAACACCTCCGAAGGGCCGCCGCAAGGCCCCCGAGGGGCCGCCGACGAAGCGGGTGCTGCCAAAGGTGCCCCTGGCCCAGGGTGTCCCCAGGATTCCAAGGAAGGGCCAGCTGGCCTCCGGAGCGCCCCCCCGAGGGCTAGAGGGCACTGCAGGGCCCCAAGGTGACGCGCGAAGCTGGGGGCACCTCTCGATGATCCTCCGAACGTGAGCAAGCGCCAACCTGCTCTTATCCAGCGAAGCTCTTCAGGACGACGCAGCCGATGCAAACGAGGGTCGAGCGAGGTAACAGCTACACACAAACACACATACACACGCACACACACACAAACTCTCTCTCTCACACACACTCGCACACGCACACTGGCACACACACACACACACTCACACACACGTTCTGTCGGCAACGAGGCAGAGTTGGCTGCACCAGCGCTGGAGCTAAACGGGGGCACCGACAAGCGAACTGGCCAGCATGCAGGAGTGGGGAAAGGACAGACTGGGCGGCCGCGAGGGCGGGGAAGAGGAGGCCGCTCAGGGGCGGACGGGTCAAAGCCTGAGCATGTTGGCCATGGCGGCGCGCAAGGGAAAGGGAGAGCGAACGGAGGGGAAGGCGGGGAAGAGGGCGGAGAGGAGGAGCGCCCCGCCTGTGGGGAGATCCCCGCAGGCGGGGCGGCAGCGCAGGCGCCGGCGCCTGCGGCCAGACGGCAGCGGTCCGCGCACTGTGCTGCGCGGGCGTCTACACTGCCCACGATGGCAGGTCCAGGCTGCTATCACACCTCTGGCTGCCAGTCGCGGGCAGGAAGGGTTTGCCAGTGTCAAAACTGTAGTTGAGGCCGTAGGCCAAGCGCTGCCGCGGTGGACAGCGCAAGCCAAGACTGGGGGCACCGATTAGTGAAAGTCGGTAGGGGCTGGGACGGCCGCGCGCTGCCGGGGTGGACAGCGCGCGGACACACCAGGCCTGTCAGAACTGTGGCCGAGGCCGAGAGGCCCCCCACTGCCGAGGGGGGCAGTGTGGACCAAGTCAAGGGCACCCAATCGGTGCAAGGACTGCTGCAGAGAAGCGGCAGGGGCCGCGGGGGCCGCACGCTGCCGGGGTGGGCAGCACGCGGCCGAGGCGGAGAGGATGCAGGGGCTGGAGGACCAGAACGCAGAAAGGTGCCGCGCGCCGCAGGGGTGAAGTAGAGGAGATCACCCAGGAAAGCAAAGGAGACCCCCCAAAAAGTAAAGCAGACCCCCAAACAAGTAAAGGAGACCCCCCAAAAAGTGAAGGAGACCCACCAAGAAAGTACAGCAGTCGATCAGGCGCCCCCACTGGCCGTCGCTCGGACGTCCACTCCCTGTGTTTTTTGTCAGCTTCGTGCGTGGCTTTTTCGCCACATGATCAAGGATGCTCCTCGATGGTCCTCGCCGAAGGAAAAATGCACACGTCCGAGCGATGCCAAGGGGCCGGGAGGCACGAGCAGACCACCCGTGCTCTTTGTCGGTCTCGTGCGTGGCTTTCCTTCGCCGAATGGTCGAGGATGCTCCTCGATGGCCCTCGCCGAAGGACGAATGCCCACGTCCGCGCGATGCCACGTCGAGCGCACCGGGGGCGGGCGCGAGCGGCGCCCGGGGTGCCCGCGGCTGGCGGTCGGGCGCAGGGCACGGCGGGGCCCCAGGCGCCACGGCCTGCCGCAGTGGCTCGCACGGGCGCGGTCCGGGCGCAGGGCTTCGGAGGCACGGGAGGCCCGTGGTGTCGGGAGGACGCTGCCTGGATTGGTCGTTGTTGGGACAGGCTTGCGGATGCCACGACAGGCGCAGGGCTTCGGAGGCACGGGAGGCCCTTGGTGTCGGGAGGGCGCTGCCTGGATTGGTCGTTGTTGGGCCAGGTTTGCGGATGCCGCGACAACGGACACCCCAACAGTCCTCTCATCGAATTAAACATGTGTTTAAAATGCAGGAAGAATTCCTGGGAATGTGAAACACCGCTCTAGACAGATGGGAATTATTTGGCAACATGCTTCCTCTCCATTGATCGTCCTCCATAGGCCAGGTGGGGTCCGCACGCCTCTTGCCTTTCCGGACCGCGTCGTGGCCGTTCCATTTGCCCTTGCCCTTGTCCCAGCGCGGCTCGTTGCGTCGCAGCTGCCTCTCCCAGGCAGCATTCTCTGCAGAGTCTGCGGACTTCGAACTTTTGGTCGCATACCTGGAGCAGCAAAGCAAGTCCCAATAGAAGTCGTCGTGCCCGCCTGGGTCGTAGGTGCCCCTTCCGGGTCGGTATCCCTGGCATCGCAGAGAGCGTTCCACCCTTCAACGAGCATGGCGCCGCAGTCCCTCTTCAGCATGTTGACAACCTCTGGCCATGTCTCCTGGACATTGGTCCTGTAGTTCCACGTGCGATGCCAACTAATCTGCATCCGAGGGCCATGTCGAGTGTGTCCTGGGGGTCGCGATGGCGAGTATATCCAGGGTAGATCTGCGGGCGCTGGGGCGGTTCTTGGTTGGCAATACCCAGTCGCGGGGCCGACAAGGAGCTTCCACCCCCTCGATAACCAGACCCTGCGCTGGCGTGTACCGTATCGGCCTGCTGGGGACGACCGTGCGGTTGCTCTAACGTCCTGGGTGTCTTACGTGCTCGGCCTTCGTCAGGTTCTTCTCCTGTGCCCCTTTCTGCGACCAGCTCGATGCGGTGGTCGCCTGCGGTTGGGCGCGCTGGTCTCCACCTCCCCAGCAGTTTCGGCGTCCATAGCCTGATATCGCAGCGGCTGTTGGGAGGCTGGCTGATGGACTCGCTCGGGGCCGGGGCTGGAGGTCTCTGTCTGTGCGTGGAGGTCGGGGTGAGGTTCGCTGCGGGGGCTTGCTTGTGGGTCCTGGCCCTTGCTCTCCGCATCGGGCGAGAAATCGACCTCGGAGACTGCGCGCGGGGGCGTGGGTGGGCGGTCGACTTCACTGGGCTGGGAGGCGAGAGCTCCAGGGCTGTCGGAATGGACCCCCGGGTCTGCGTCGGTTGGGCCTCCAGCTGACCCGCTGGCCTCTACGAGGGTTTGGTCACGCTGGGGGTCTCGGGGTGGGGGCAGAGCTGCGCCCCTCGGCCTGCGGGACTGTCCTGATGTTGTTGTGGATGGACTTGGTGGTGGGATTGCTGGCGCCACGTGCAGCGTAATGCTCCAGCTGAGGTGACCTTAGGTTCTGAATCCCCTGTGAGGCAGGGAAGCGGGTGACGTGACGCTGCCCGTACTTGCTGGGGTCTCTGACTAGGTCCTGATCCAGCTGGGGATGGCTGGCATGTAGGAAGGCGTCCCATTCGTCAGCCAGGAAGTCAACCCTGCTTCCGGGTGGGCGCCCCTTCTGCTTGATAAGGTGGGTTACCACGCGCGCTAGGGCAGCCCGTCTTCCGTCCCAGGGGCGTCCGTCGGGGATTCCGTTGCCTGGGATCGTTGGACCGTAGATGCTGGTGAGGAATCTCTTGCAGTCGTCCTCTGTCCACGCCCAGGGGTCCCGTGGGGCGCTGTGTGGACCGTCTCGGCGGGGTCGCTGTTGTTGCAGGTCGTCGGTCCACTGTCGCCAGGCCTTTTCGATGCCGTCGTCAAATGCCTGGGCGTGCTGGACCATCGCGTTGGCGATGTTGTAATCTGCCTTTCCCTTCCTTGGGTCCGGGTTGCTCGGTGCAGTGGGTTGAAGGGAGCCCACAGAGCGGTAACACACACACACACACACTCGGCTAGCACATGGCGGATTCCGGGAAGCCTGAACCCAAACATATTGTCATCGCTTGGATGGCAACCTTTTACTTCCGCCACCTTCCGCCAGAGGAGGCGGCCTCGCTCTACTTCCGCCGACTTCCGCCGGCCTTCCGCTGCCTTCCGTCGAGGACGAGACGGCGACTCCCTCGATCCTCGAGAGCGAGGCCCTCTCTGGAACGCCGTCTGTGTCCCAAGGGTCCCCGAGCCCTGTGCCAGGGCCACCTCCAGCGGCGCCCGAGTGGAGATGGCGAAGCCCGCCCGCTCGCCGCCGACGGCGAGCCGCAGAGGGCTCCTCTCCCAGCAGCGGCGGCGTGTCAGAGGCCGCGCGCGCGGCCTGCAGGCCCGCCAGCTCCCCGAGGTCCGCGTCCGTCGCCTTGGCCATCGCCGCCGAGGCGCGGCCCGTGCGCAGCACCTGCTCCGCGCGCCGCTCGAGGGCGGCCTGCCAGCGAGGGGTCTGGTGGCCACGCCCCTCCTTCTCCTCCTCATGCTCCTCCTCCTCCTCCTCCTCCTCCTCCTCCTCCTCCTCCTCCTCCTCCTCGTGCTCCTCCTCCTCCTCCTCCTCCTTCTACTCCTCCTTGTACTCCTTCTACTCCTCCTCCACATCCTGCTCCTCCTCCTCCTCACCACCACAACCATCATCACCATCATCACCATCATCACCATCATCACCATCATCATCATCAGCATATCAGCATCATCAGCATCATCAGCATCAGCATCAGCATCAGCATCATCATCATCATCATCATCATCATCATCATCATCATCATCATCATCATCATCATCATCATAATCATCATCATCATCATCATCATCATCATCATCATCATCATCATCCCCACCCTCCTCCTCCTCCTCCTCCTCCTCTTCCTCCTCATCTCCCTCCCCATCCTCCTCCTCCCTTCTCCGACTCCTCCTCATCCGCCTCCTCCTCCTGATCCTTCTTCTCATCATCAAGACCACCATCACCACCACCACCACCATCACCATAACCATCACCATCATCATCACCATCATGGTCATCACCACCACCATCATCAGCAGCAGCATCGTCATCATCGGCAGCATCATCACCATCATCATCATCAGCATCATCATCATCATCATCATCATCATCATCACCATCACCATCATCATCACCGTCATCATCATCAGCCTCTTCGTACCATAATCGGCATCAGCATCATCATCAACGACATCAACCTCATCATCACAAGTCCCATGCTCACCATTGCCAACATCATCAGCAATATCACCATGATAGTCATCATAATCAGCAGCAGCAGCATCACCATCACCATCACCATCACCATCAACATAATCATGATCACCACCATCATCACCGTCATCAGCATCATCTTCATCATCAAAACCATCAGCATCATCACATAAGTCATCATCATCATAATCCTCATCATCGTCATCACCATTGACATCATCATCGTCATTCGCATCAGCTTCGTTGTACCATCGGCATGATTATCAGCCTAATCTTCAGCATCACCATCCTCATCGGCATCATCCACATCGTCATCAGCACCAGCATTACAATCGTCGTCGTCAGCATCACTACCATCATCAACATGTACATGACCATTATCATCGCCATCAACATAATCATCAACCGCATCATTATTATCATCAACATCATCAATATCAGCATAATCATCATCAGCATCATCATCAGCATCATCGTCACCATGGTCATTATGGACATCACCATCACCGGCATCAACAGCATCATCGGCGTCAGCATAAGCGCCATCATCACCAGCAGCATTATCAGCATCATCCTCATCGCCAGCAGCATCACCATCATCAGCAATATCAGCCGCATCATCATCAGCATCACCATCATCATCAGCAGCATCAGCATGCTCATCAGCACCACCGTCTTCGTCGCCATCAGCATCATAATCAGAATCAGAAGCATCACCATCGTCATGTTCATCATCATCATCATCATCATCATCATCATCATCATCATCATCAGCATCATCATCATCATCATCATCATCATCATGTCCATCAGTATCATATGCATCATATTCCTCATACCCATCCTCATCCTCATCCTCATCCTCACCCTCATCATCACTGTCACCATCGCCATCACCATCGCCAGTACCATCATCATCATCATCATCATCATCAGCAGCAGCAGCATCATCAGCATCATCATCCGAATCAGCATCACCACCATCGTCTTCATCATCATCAGCACCACCATCACCAGCAACATCAGCACGACCATAATCATCATCAGAATCGTCATCATTATCAGCATCACCATCATTAGCATTCTCATCATAAGCATCATCATCATCCTCACCCTCATCACCACCATAATCATGATCCTCATCATCATCATCATCATGATCAGCATCACCGTCACCATCACCATCATCACAATGATCATCAGCAGCAGCATCATCATCACCATCAGCATCATCGTCATCGTCAGCATCATCATCAGCAGTATCATCATCACTGTCATCATCGGCGTCGTCGTCGTCAACATCACTCCCATCCCCATCCCCATTCGCATCCCCATCCTCATCCCGTGCCTCCTCCTTCTCCTGCTCGTCCTTCTCCTCACTCTCCTCCTCCTCCTCCTCCTCCTCCTCCTCCTCCTCGTGGTCATCATCGTCGTCTTCGTCGTTGTTCTCCTCCTCCTCCTCCTCCTGCTCCTTCTCCTCGCTCTCCTCCTCCTCCTCCTCCTCCTCCTCCTCCTCCTCCTCCTCCTCCTCCTCCTCCTCTGCCTCATCTGGCTCCTCACCGTACCTCCTCCCTCCAGGGATCCCGGCAAGGTGGGGAGACTAGAAGGGAGAGAGCGCAGGGGGAGAGGGGGAGGAGGAAGATCGGGATATTGAGGAGTAGGAGGAAGAGCAGCTGACCACGCTCATCGAATCCCTGACACTTTTCGGGATCCCCAAGAAGCTGGAGGCCTCTGGGGACCTCTCTCCAGGCCTTCCCAGGGCCTCAGGGAACTGCAGGAGACCTCAGACAAGCCGACTTTCGGCGCGCAGCAGTGAAGTACGCCTCCAGGATGACGATGTTCTTTCGTCGATTTGGGGGCCTCCTGAAGAGCCCTCGTGGCCACGGCTGGACGCAGCTCAAAAACTGGCCAGGACCAACCAGGCCTGAGCTAGATCGAATCGCGAAGTCGGATCGGATCGGAAACGGATCGGATCCCACCGCGAATCGGCGCGGAACCTGGCTCGGCCCCTGCTGGCTGCAGAGGGAATCAGAGAAAGACGATAATCGTGGTTGGGAGAATACAATGCGCGACTGTGTAATAAGCACGTTCACCATACGCGAAAACACGGATGATCTGATCGTTTCTCCCGGCCCCATCCTCCCAACCCGATACCTGCCTTTCCGAAAATGGATTCGTGCTGGATCGGGTCGGACCGCACCTTTCAAATCGACGTCTGCAGGTCGGGCAGGACCGCATCGGACAGCGGAGGCAGCCCCGACGTCCGACCCCCGGAAACGCCGAGGATAACCTCTGGGAGGAGTCCCGGGGCCCCTCCCGAGCACGAGCGGCGACCATGTCCGAAAGGCAACGATCGCGTGTGGAGGATGGGTCTCTGGCCATCGCTCGGACGTCCATTCCCTGTGTTTTTTCTGTTCCGTGCGTGGTTCTTTCGCCAAATGATCAAGGATGCTCCTCGATGGTCCTCGCCGAAGGAAACATGCACAGGTCCGAGCGATGCTAAGGGGCTGGGAGGCACGATCAGATCACCCGTGCTATCGCGTATGCCGAAGGTGTGCATTACACAGTCGTGCCCCGGATCTTCCCAACCCCTCCCTCCCAGCTTTTTCAACATACCCTTCGATGTTGCACGACACATTCGCCGGCCCAACGGGCCAGAGGCGTGCTAAGATCTCCGGTAACTGAGTTCGCGCGCGCGGGGCGGCCCCTGGGGGTCCCCGGACGAAAAGTACCCCGGGCGGGTCCCGGCTGATCCCCGGGCGACTCCACCAGAGCGCTCCACGAGCGCACCAACAGGGCTCCGAGACGTCCCCGAGAGCCCCAAGAAAGGCCAAGAGGCTCCCAAGAGGCCCCCAAGATGGTACACGAGGGGTCCGACATGCCACAAGATCGCTCCAAGACGCCCAAGATAGCCCCCAGACGCCCCAAGAGGCCTCCAAGAGCACTTCCAAGAGCACTCCCATGAGGGCCCCAGGAGGCAACAGTCACTGTTTTTCCTTAGGTTTGTGAAAGATTTTGGAGCTTCCACCTTTTCGGCTTCCCGACGCCCCAAGACGGCCCAAGAGGCCCCCAAGATCGCCCCAAGAGGGCCCAAGAGGCCCCCTAGAGGGCCCCAAGATGGCCCAAGAGCGCTCGAAGACGGCCCAAGAAGCCTCCAAGACGGTCCAAAAGGGCCCCAAGAACGCCCCCAAAAGGGCCCCAAAGAGGGAACACGAAACAACATTTCGAGCCCTCGGCCCTAAGAAGCCCCCGCGAGGCCCCAAGAGGCCCCTAAGAGGCCCCAAGAGGCCCCCGCGAGGCCCTCAGGAGGCCCCCAAGAGTCCCCCAAGGGGCCCCAGGAGGCCCCCCAAATGCCCCCCCGAGCACGCAAGCAACTGCAAGCGATGCTACAATGTGCCCTCCTTTCGGTAGACTCCCAACGGGACCCCTACAGACTTGCAACAAGCGTCAAGAACCTGCCCAAAAAGCACTGTCCAGGAGCGTTCACAAGTGCCGCGAAGAAGCCCTCCTTACGCCGGAAAGCCCAGCCGGGTGGGGTGAGCTGTTCTTCTCACCACCGCGCCCTCTCACACAATGGCTTCCGCACGCCGCCCAGAGCGCGACGTTCGGCTCATGCCCCCAGAACGCTCCAGGAGCGCGCCAAAACGGCACCGGAACGCCCCCGAAACAATCCAAGCGGCCTCAAGTCGCCGAACAATTGTTCCAAATCGCCCAAGATGACCTCAAAATTGCCGTCGAGGCCGCCAAGAAGCCCCAAGAGAGCCTCAAGAGGCCCTCCAAGACGGCCGTTGCAATCAATTATCCCAGCAAAGCAACCTAACAGCGATGTGTAAAATCATATATGTGTGCACCATAATTTAGATTCAGATGGCGATTTCATTAATATTCAACTCGGATTCTCATTGTAGACTTTTTCATCAAAGTCTGCAATCGACGGATGTGAGTTTAAACAAGCACCCGGTATCAACGAATGCAGTTTCAAATGAGACTCTGGTATCTACGTTCACTGCGTGCTCACGGAAGCGTTTGAAGTGGAAGATGTGATGATGACCATGATTGTTTAAAGTAGAGCTTATGTATCAATGAATGCTGCGTTTGATGGCCGCGTTCTTTCGGCGTGTTTTTTCGGACACGCACGAGGGGCGCAAATGAGTGCAGCGCGCGGAGCGAGAAAACGGGCAAAAGCTGCAAGCTAAGAAGCATCGCAGACACTCGCAGGC